GGTTTCTGGGAGGCCACCTGAGATGGGGCTTGGCGTGCAGGGTGCTTGAGAGTGTCCTTGGGGTCGGCAGCTGTGACCGGAGGAAGGAAGCCGGGCTGTGGGGAGAACTCAGGGGCTCAGGCACCCTCCGGAGAGCTCTGGAGCTAGGTGGGTTTTGCGTTGTCCCGAATTGGGCTGCGGCAGCCCGGCCTTTACCCTCTGCCCTCCCAGTGGATTAGTTACTGGATGTGGGAGCCCAGAAAGGGGTGCCGCTGGGGGCCGCGGTCGGGGTTTGTAGGCTCAGGTCTCAGTGATGTGCAGCCGCTGGGGGAGTGGCCAGCCGAGCCCTTCCCTTTGCCTTGTTCTCTGCGAGGGTGTCTGCAGCCCAGCTCACTGTAGCTTGCAAAGTATTTTGGGGGAGAAAATACTGCAGAGATTTAAATTACGGGGCATTTAGATGAGGGCACACTCCCACGGCCCTGGCTGGGCCATTAGTCTGGGTCCACGGGGCCACCCCTGGGATCCAGCCGTCCCCATCCAACCATCCGGGCGGGACCTGGGCCCCGGGCACACAGGAGCCAACGAGGAAGAGAGAGCACGGGCAGAGACGAGATAGGAGGGCAATTAACTCAGTCTTTATTTACACCACAAGAGTAACAAGTTGTATGATGCGGTACAAAATACTGGACTCCGGTGAAGTGGAAGGAGAGGCTGACCATTGGAGCAGGATGCCACTGGCCGGTGAAGATCCGCCCACACCAAACGAAACAAGAACGAGCAAACCAAACACAAAACCTCCACCTCCACTGAGCAAAAGAAAGAACCCTTGACAAGGTCCGTACAAAGAGAAAACGGATTAAATTACAGAAGAAACCGGCGGTGGCGGCCCGCCCGGAGCCCGCGCCAGGCTGACGGGCACCGAGAGGACGCAGCGTCGTTGCGCCCTGGCTCCCACCACGCACCTGCAATAAGCTCTTGGGTGAGTGCGGTTCAGCCCCCCTTTATATGTATATTATATATATGTTTGTCATTCTCATGAATTGGAAAATAGAGCCTCCACTGTGGAGCACACACACCAAAAATCCAAATAAAAACTGCTCACTTTCTCTTTCTTTCAATAGGAGACTTTTAATCGATGTCAGAGACAAAGTGAGGCTGAGCTGAGGACGAGCTCGGCTTCTTACAATGAGGAAACGTTTCCGTCGAAGCAGAGTATATGGTAAACCACAGTGCTCGCACAGTCACGGCTGCTTAAAGTGAAACCTTAGCCACACACCATCTGAAATTAATGAAAAGTCAACACGGCTGTGCGGAAAAGGGGACTCCTCCGAGCCCGCCCGGTTCTCAATCAGAATGAACCGTCGCGAGGCCAGGGAGGGCTGGCGGCGCTCACCCGGCCCGCGGAAGGAGATAAAAGGAAACAAACAAAACAAAACAGAACAAAATTCCTCCAAATCAACTCGAGAGAGACAGGCAGTTCACCTTGAATTCTGCGTAGTTTCCCTAAAACACTGTTTCCACATAAATACAATAAACTCTATTATTGGTATGTCACAAGTGCTAGATAAACTTTTTTCTTAATATGACAAATGTTTAAGTAGTCCTTTTTATTCTTACAATAAAAAGTACAATTTCTTAAGAATAAGTTCTGTGAGACGCAAACTTCCCTCCCCCCTCTCCTTCAAGGTTTTGTTTCACAGAAAAATTTCCATCCTTTGTATCTGCAAATGTCACGAGAGGGGATCAAAAAGGCATTTTTCCTCTTCCCCAAAGCTGCCGAGTTTGGCGTGCAAAATCTGTATACAATATAAAGACATGCCGGTCGTACAGTCCATGCAACCTCCAGGTGTAGGAAACTTAAAAAAATATATTCATATATATTTATATCTATATATTTATATATGTATCAATGCCCATAAAACACGTGGGCCCAAAGTCTACAAAAAGAAGAATGGAATGAGCACATGGCTGTGACCAGCAAAGAAGGAATGTTCCGATCAAAACAAAAACAACAAAGTCCTTTGCTAGTGCTGCAAAAATCAGACTCGCTTTGTGTCGGACCATTACAAAACGGTCCTTCCTCTTGGAAACAGAGTTTTAAAAGAAGTAAAGAAAAACCGAAACACTCTGACAAAGTGGCCCTCCCGAACAGGAGCCACGGGACGCCGGAGAGGGGCGGCCAGTCCCCGCGGGGCGGCTTCCCGGGATGGCCGCCTGCTGGTGGGGCGTGGGCACGTCGTGGCACAGCTGGAAGCCGCAAGGGCAGGGTGGACACCACGCGTCCCGGGGGCGTCACCGGGGATTCCCTGGGAGGGATATAAAGTGCTCTCTTGCCAACTCCCTGGCCGGTGCCCCCAAGGCCTTTGCAAAGGAAGAAAAAGGCTAAAGGTCCCAGGACCAAAGGGAAAGTGGGTGAGGAAACCCTCCCTGATGTGGTCCCGCCCACGGAGGCCAAGGCAGACCCCCCGCCGCTTGCCCTGGGCGCTGGCCGTGGAGAAGGGCCGAGTGTGTCTTCAAAGAAAAGGCTACACGGTAATGCTTTCAGCACATCTGTGAAGCTGGAGTGAGCCGACAAGTGAACATGCTTCCCCCTGCCAGGCCTCTGCGCAGAGGATGTCTCCACTGAGTGAGACTACAAGTGAATCCCTCCAGTGACAACCTGGCTACGGAGCGGTCCATGTCATCCCATCATCTGTTCAAAAAAGTGAGATGATGCCTTCCTCCCATGAACCACGGCTGGGGAGACGGCAGGTGGTGGGGTCCTCAGAGGGCCACCTGGAGAGCGGGGCAGAGGCTGCCAGAAGACCCGGCCAGCTGGGCCCTGCCACAGCTCTGTGCCACAAATGGGGGATGGGCCACGTCGGCTCCCACAGGCCAGCTCCTCTTGCCAAATTAGGCTCTGGAGCAAAGAGTGGCCAGTAGGGAGGAGAAAGTCAAACAAATCCCAAGACCTTTCTGCCCTGCTCTCAAACCCCTGTCTTCGAGCTGACCAACAGCAGGCAACAACCAAGTGAATCCAAGAATTTGCACTCATTCGGTCAAAAGTGGGATTGAGTTAGTGTCTCTTTCAGCAGCTACCCTGTAAACTTGACCAAACTCAGAAACTTGGCCTGGCGTCCCTCCTGAGCGTGGTGCATCTGAACTTCCACCCCCAAGTCTGAACTTGATACACTTGGAATGAAATCGGTGGTTTCAAGTGCTGAAAATTAAGTTACCAGTAAAAAGGGACTGTCAGTTACTGTCAAAGAGTGAAGACTGGCTGTCCCGGTCAGGAGCCTGCACTTTCCCGTCAGGCCTGCCAGGCAGGAGGCCCCTGGGTCCCTTGCAGCCACAGGCTCCAAAATCCAGGGCCGGCTGCTTCCAGCCTAAGCCCCACTGCAGCGGAAAACCCGAACAGGTGGAGAGCCCATGCGTGCCCCATGCATTGCCAACATGCTTAAAAGGCCTTTGGGAAACTCAAGTTAGAATTCTATCCTACAGGTGTGGTCAGAGAAGTTTAAACGTGAGTTGCGTTAATGCTGACTGCCCACGTGTCCAGCAAGCCTCCCGGGTGGCTCGACACCACATGTGACCGTCCCCGCACCTGCCACGGAGGGGAGAACATACCGCCCCGTGTAATACTAGTGTTGCATGTAGGAAAAGCCGTCTGGCTTCTTTCTACAGCTCCTAGGACAGACCAGGAGAGACACAATCGTTGGTGTCGCTCTGAAAAGACCTAAGGTCCCTCTTCTCACTCTCTGAAAATAAACTCTGATGGCGACGATTCCCGGACGCTGCAGAAAACTGCTCACTGTACAGAAATAAACAAAAACAAAAATAATAAAAAAACTTTGAAAGTTAAAAAAATGTACAAGCAAGAATTTAAAAAGGAAAACGATTTAGAAATTATTACCATTCAGAAAATCCCTAAATGGTGAAGAATGTAAAATTCACAAAACAATGCTTATTCAGGATCTTTTTGTGAAAAATTCATACAAAAATCAACAGCAAATTTATATTCTTTGCTATAAAAACTCATTAGGTACATATGTGCATGGAGGCTTGGAGAGGGAAGGGGTTCTGTTAGAAAATAATTAAAATTAACGTACAAACTTGCAGGGTAGTTGCCCAGTGGCGAATGTGTTGGCGCTCTGAAAGCCGGCCAATCTGGAGCTCAAAAATGCACGAGTTTCCATCACGATCTCTTTCATGAGCACCTTTAGAGCTAGTTCACAAGTCATCCGTTTGCAGGGACCTTCACGATCTGCATTTATTTTATATATATATATATATATATACTTTTTCTATAAATGCATTATAAATATTTTATCAAGATTTCGTAAGAATCAAGTTTCTTAGCTTGGAATACATTGGAATATATATTATACATATATATATTTATTTATACCTAAAATTTAAGCAATACTTCATGCTACTTGCTTTTAATAAAAAGCATTCCGATCGTAACACTGCGCGTGTGCCTACGACATGCTTCAACCAAATGGAGATGACCGGTCGCTACGTGACGTGTGAGGAAAGAACACTTTGGATTCATTTAAAATTTGTTGGACTTCAAAACCCCAACAGTATTTGCCACTTTTTGGAACTACCTCCATTTCTGTAACTAGCCACGGAGCGGAGGAGCAGCCCTGGGGCAGCGCCGGTGCCGCCCTCGGAGCATCGGGCCGGCTCGCCCGGCCGCAGGGGACTGTCCCACCGATCCCGCTCTTTGTCATTTCTTAAGGCATCGTTCCTCGGACTCCAGAAAACCCAGCCACAAAAATCCACCAGAGCAATAAAAATAAAGGCACAAACTTGCATCTTCCGATGGCTTCGAGAAACTCAACCCTCCCCCAGGCTCGCGTTCCTGCTTTTGTACAGTTTTGTTTTTGTGAAAGGTCCGTCCACTCTGTCCCCACCCGTCGCAGACCCCACCGCACGCCGCCGCGTTCGCGGAGGCAGGCCAGAGCCGTAGAAAACTTTCTCTTTTAAAAAAAATAAGCTACAAGATGAGCTGAGTGGTTTACACGGAGACTGTGAAATTGTGGGTAATAATCAAACTTTAAGCACCAGTTTTAATCAAGTTTTTTTGTATTATTAGATCTTTGATTTTCATTTTCTTTTCCTCATGTCACCTGGATCCGGCAACTGTGCCGCCAGCTGCCGCAGGCTGCTTTCTTCCGCGGCATCCCGGGGCCGCCGAGTGTGCTTGGCTTCCGCGTCTGTGCGTGTGCACGCGCCGGCGTCTGTCCCGTGTCCCGTGGGCGGCTGCCATGCCCAGGGCGTGCGTGTGCGTCTCGAGACCTGTGGGTCTGGGCGGCAGAAAGGCTTCCCGTTGCTGCTGCGCGCCTGGTGTCCCTGGGCGCTCCGAGAGAGCAAGTGGCGGGACTCAAGCGCGACACGGGAAAGTTTCTTGGCTGAGCTTCAAGACGGAGACGAACAAACAGGAGAACAGTGGCCCCAGGAGATGCTACAGGGGCGGCTCCTCCTCCATGGGCTCCTCCTCTGGTCTGCGGTGAGGGGGTGGGGTGGGGCGGGGCGGGGCGCACAACAGAGGAGAGAGAGAACCCAACAGTGCGTTAAAGGTGACACCTTTGGCAGCTGCCCTTCCAGCAGACCTGCCGCCTTGCGGTGTCCCTCCCTGCCACGGCCTGCCCTGAAGCTGAGTGCCACTGGGCCCACGATGTCCAGTGCTGTCCACGCGTGTCTAAGGGGCATCCACACTGGACAGAGGGGGCTGCCCTGGCCTGTGTCGAGGGTCGGATGGGAACACCTGAGGTCCATCCCTCCCCCGGGCGGGGCCAGCCCTGGCGCACTTGGCAGGCCTTGCGTGGTAAAGGCTCTGACCGCCTGCAGGACACGTCACTGCTCAGAGGTACCCGGCAAGCCCACAGGCCGGGGGCAGACTCTCACCTCTTCTCGGTGGGCTTCACGCCCACGGAAAGCGAGGCCATGGCGGTGACCGTCTCGGCTTCTTCGTTCTCGCACTTCTGAGCCTCGACCAGAGAGTGCCCCACCGTGGAGGGCGTGCGCTGCAGGCAGCGCCAGTACTTGCCTAGGGCAGGGAGAGCCGCTCAGTGACCGCGCCTCGCAGGCCACACCGCGGCCCGAGGAGGTCTCCGCAGGACCCTGGGCCTCGGGACCCAGCGCTGTGATTCAGAGACAGAAACCGCGGAGCTGCATGGCTACAAACTCACAAAAACTGGGAATCTCTGGAAATGTTTCTGTTCCCAAGTGGAACAGTCTTCCTGCAAGCCGGCCCACCCACGACCGAGACGGGGTCTGGGGGCCTGGCCCTCTGTACTCAGGGCCCTCCCTGCCATGGCAGCAGGACTGGGCTGCTGGCTGGCAGTGCCGAGCCCTCCTGGCTGTGGGAGCAGGTGAGCTCGGTCTCCTGCCCGACCCTGGCAGGTGCTGGGGGCTGGGGAGTCACTGCCTCAGGCCTGAGCATGCAGGCTGTGCCCCGAGGGCTGGCCTGTGGTCGGCTCCAGGGCTCTGTGGCAGAACCAAATGCCTCTGCGCAGGGAATCCGGGAGCAGGCCTCCGGTTTCACCCACTCACACTGATGGTCGTCTCAAAGGCCTACAACACATTGGCCATGCGATGGGGACAGGGTGTGACAGATGCACCTGAGACAGGTGTGCTGGCATGAGTCCCCTCGCCACGTGCCGCCCCAGCCCCTAGGACCTGCCGCCCGACCAGTGCTACGAGGCGGGGGCTCCCTGAGCTCTGGGCACGGGCTTCTCGGGTCCAGGGTTGAGGCCGTGGCCACCCCTGCTGGCGGGGACCTGAGGGAAGGGACCGCACAGAGATCGTCTGGGCCTCGAGTCTTTGGAGCTGTGAGAGGAGGCGATGAAATCATCCCAGTGGGCTGTGGGGGAGCCAGCTGGGGCTACACGGGCATCTCTGCCAGCTCACCACGTGCCAGGCACAGCAAGACCGTGTCCCGCAGGTCTGGAAAGCGCTGGCAGTTACCACCGAGCGGGGACGGGGACCAGGAGGGATGCAGTGGAGTCCTGCCCCCAGGAGCACTTACTGTGAATTTCCATGACCTTCTCCATGGACCGCACAGCGTTGGCGTTGGGTCTCTGCTGTAGGACCTTGTCTGGGAGCGGGTCGAGCTGGAAAACACACAGCTGAGTGTACGGGGTGTCAGTGTTCCCCACACGCGCCTCGCAATGGGGCGTTCGCGACAGTGCCTGTCTCCTGAGTGTGGTCATTTGTTGAGTGCATTTGCCCACAGAGAAAGGAAAATAACTTTTAAAAGCCAAATGTGGCTTTGGTATTTCTTATATAGATATTTTACAAAGTTGATACTTTCTTTAGATTTTTTTTAGGGGGTTATGAGGTATATTCGCAGGTTCCTGTAAGTAGCAGAAGGATGCTCCCGGGAGGGGCTGGTGGGATCTGCTCAGTGGATGCTATTTATGCCACGGGGTCACACGAGGGGAAACGGCTTCTCCTTTTTGGAAGTTTCACTTTTATATTGCTGGCCTTCTAAATAAGAGAGCTCAACTGTCCCCCGATCTTGGTTTCTTCCAGTGAGGGGGTGGCGGATGCGGGGAAGGGAGTGAGGGGGCCTCCGCGGCGGAGTCCTTCGCACCAAGTCTCTGCCCGGTACTGGCAGCAGATAGAACAGGAAGTAAGTCTGCAGGTAAATCGCAGGGCAACATCTGCACCACGCCGACTACAATGTTTGATTGGAACAGATCATAAAAACACAGTGATGATTTAGAAAGCTTTAAGTAACTGAAAAAGCCTACGAAACCCGGGGAAATATGCCGAGTCCAGAACAGAGCTGCGCCCGACTGGGGAGGCCCGAGAAGTCCGGGGGCAGACCCAGCTGTGCAGGCCGGGGCTACACGGCCACTCCCCGGAAGGGACCAGCGAGGAGAACAGACACACACAGACCGAGAACTTTCACACAGAGACAAACGGAAGGAAAGTTCTAGTTGTAGCTTTGGCTCTGGGTAGAAGTTAAAAGACAAAGTCACTCTGAGAATCTGGCTGGCTCTAGATGCTGCCAGCGGCAGCTGCTGTTTACAGCTGTGGGCCCGCCGTGGCCAGGGCACCACGCAGAAGCATCTCGCGTCCCCAAACCAGGCTGCAGGTGAGCGCTGCCAGCTAAGTTCCAAGAAGCACAAGTTCCCAATCAGAAACACCGCACGGCACGGACGTGAGCCAGCATGAACCTGGTCGGGAGGACAACACGGCTTCCAACACACTTTCCAATAAAAGGACACAGGCCGCCTGAGAAGCGGCTCGTGCCGACGGCTGAGGCAGGGACGATCCCAGAGCAGCGTGGACGCGCCACAGGACAAGGGAGGGGCGTCCAAGGGCACACAGGGCGGATGTGAAGAATCACCCCCGGCCAGAGCGGGGCAAGCTGAGCAACAAAATGAATGACGCGGCAGCGATTATGGTCCGAAGTACGAGATGAGTATCCGGGCATCACAGGTACACGCGTAACTGGGGGCTGAGACACACGGTTCTCAGAGAAGAGCTTCAAACAACGAACGTACCCCCCCTCCCCGAGCCTCACACCCCATCCTGACGCTGGGTGCTGGCCGTGCTCAGTGGCCTTCCAAAGAACACATCTGGACAGAGGTCAAAGGGCGACTTTATTGTGGAAAAAGCTGATCAACACTGCTCCGGCCAGGTGGTCACGGTGAGCCGGGCCGCCGGTAAGCCATGTTGACAGCGCACATCCGTGACACGGGAATGGTGCTTTACTCCTGGGATCCTCCTCCCCGAGTGCACAACGCTGAGAAAAACCCAGACAGACATACACGGGGGGACAGACAGCCCACAAAGTACCCACCAGTGCGCCTCACAGTTGCTGGCGTTGTGCACAACAATGACAGACTGTCGCCGAGGAGACTGAGGACACAAGACCACGAAATGCAACGTGGGACCCTCGACGGGACCTGCACAGAGGAGGGGCCACTGCGGAAGGCGGGCGAGTCCCACGCACGTTCTGGAGTTAGTTACCGTCGCAGAACAGCGCTGCGACACACGACTCATCCCGCTATGCAAGATGCTGACAACAGGGGGCGCCTCCTGAGAGGTTTGCAGGAGCCTCGGCACTAGCTTTGCAGCCTTCTCCAGCCCTGACACTCCAAAAACTACACGTTTACTAAAACCACAGTTTTATCTTAAAGGATACAGTTATCAAAATCATCAGTTATGAACTATAAGGTAAACATATTGAACATATATTAAAAATAAGAGTAAAATACTTACGTGCAATGAAAGAACCACACATTACTGAACCCGACCTGGAAGATTTGAGACCCTAATCTGGAGGGGGCCGGGGCCGGGGCCACCACATTTGGCAAATAAACCATCAGGACTCCTGTTAAACATGAATTTCTGACAAACGAGCGATTCCTCAGTATCGGGGTGTCCCATGTTTAAGCGGGTGACCCCAACGGGCTACGGCCCAGGCCTCGGTTTGCACGGCGAAGGGGACTGCCCGCGTGGGGACGCACGCTCACATTTTCAAGGGTCCCTACTGGAGAGAAAGAGGAGGCGGGCTGTGTGTCATCAGAGTCAGGAGGGGGATGACGGGAACGCGGGGACCCTTTCTCGCAGCGCAGGAGGCGAGGAAAGGGCTGCAGAAAACGGGGCGAGCTCAGCATGAAATGAGGGGCAGGAATCAGTCTGGAAACAAAGTGACTGAGCCGCGGCACGACAGCTAGCAAGCTCAGGGTAAGGGACATGCACAGAACTCTGCAGACAGACGGCGAAGACACAGAATTCCAGACGTGGAGTCTCTGCAGACTGAGCACGCGCCAGCCTGCGCAGCAAGTCTCTGCAGTGAATAAACGCCGACCGCGTCTCCTCTCCTACCGCCACGCTGTCTGTTAGAAACCGATCGGCAAAAGAGAACCACGAGCCCTTATGTTGGGAAATGTAAAAACACACCAGCTCATGGGACAAAGAAGCAATCTCAGAAATGAGGAACTGCTCAGAATGGAAGACTAACGGCCACGCTGCCTGTCTCGAGTGTGATACGGGGCCGGGTCATGGCAGGAAAGAGGACTAAACAGTAAATATTCAACCTCAGAAGGTAGTGAAGATCATAGTCACAAAGAAAGGAGAGAAAACACACAGAAAGGCAGACATCAATAAACTTTGGAAAGAACAAAGGTACCGTAGCTGAAAATGAATCCTTGGAAACGACTAACGAAACGGACGAGCTCCGCAGCACTCTGGGCAGCAGCGCCAGGGGCGAGGAGCGCCCGGCCGTGGGCGCGGCAGAGACGAGAAGGGCAGGGAGAGGACACCGTCAACTTCTGCCGATAAATCTGAGGACTTGGTTGGAAGAAATAAATCTGATAACATGTAACTTTTCAAAATTAACTCAAGAAGGAAGAGAAAACTTGAATAGACCTATAACCATCAAAGACCCCAAATCAGAAAGTTAAAATCTGTCCCCAAAGGAGACCTGCGGCCAGGACAATGCTCCCAGTCAAGGAACGGATCACTCTGGTCTTACCGCGACTCTTCCAGGGGACAGAACTAGAGAGGAGGCTCCTCCTACCCACCCCCACCCCCACAGGACAGCTGTCCTAGGGGCCTGGACAGAGTGACAGAGAAGATGCTGGGGACGCACCCGCGTGAGGTAAGGAGGGAACTGGCCCCCCGTCCCCAGAACAGGAGAACCTTCACTGCTGCAGCCCGGCGGGTCGCACGTCCCAGGGGGGTGTCCGGGCCGACTGCTCTCTGCGGGATCGTGCAGACGAGACTCCATCTGCCACGACCCTAGGCTTCTGCCGCCCCTCACCGCCTGTTTGTGAGCAATAAACCCGCTTCGTGCAACGCACCGCGTGTGCGTGTTCTGCCTCCCGCCTCAGACAGACCGGCAACCGGTGCACAGCAGACCTGCCTCTCACCCTCCCTCCCTCTGTCCGTCTGTCTAATTGACCCCTAAGAACAAATGAGAAAAAGACAGTCTGATAGAAAAATGGGCAAAAAACGTGAACTCCACAAGAAGAGAAAGCCCAAGTGCCCGATAAACAGACGCAAGGATGTGCACCCTTAGTGACAGCGAGGACATGGCCGTGGGAAGCTCGCAGAGGAGCCATCTCATCCCTCCCCACGGGCTGAGCCCACGCGTGGGCACGTCGGTGCTGCCGGGGTTCGCGCCCTGTGCTGCCGCGGGAGGTGGACAAGCGCTCCGCGGAGCAGTCTGGCACTGCCTCGTCAGGGGGACCAGCACGTTTCCTGGCCTCCCTGCCTCTCGGGGCTGTTTACCCTCGAGCTGCAGCTGCCCAGCTGTCCCCAGACACTGTACCCAGAGGTCCCCACCACCTGTCTGCAGCAGCCAAACCTGGAGCAGCTGCCGTGTGTCCCAGACGGGACAACAGAGAAGTGGGACTCAGTGGTCAGCGCTGGAAGTGACGGAAGCTGCCGGACAAGCATGTCCTGTCCCCAGTTAGTCTTTTGCTGAGAGAGGCGGCTGGGGACCAAGCCGGGCTTGTACAAGCTCCTCTGCAAAGGGGACCCTCGGGGACGCGGGGTCACGAGGACGGCCCCTCCGTGTGCTGGCTCAGCTCCCTCAATGGTCCATGCCACGGGCGGGGGGGCTCCACCAGCCGGGGCGGAAGAGGAGCGACCCCACCACACGCAACAGCACAGAGGCCGGACAGCCCTGCTGGCGTGAGGTGAGCGTGCGCGTGTGTGGATGTGCACGTGTGCGAGGGGTGTGCGTGTGTGAGAGCGTGCGTGTGCGGCGTGTGAGCGTGCGGAGGAGACGGGCTGGGAGCGGGCCGCTGGCTCTCGCACTGAGCCTACCGGTGTCGGCCCTACAACTGGTTTTTAAACATTTCTGCAGTTTTTTCCCATCCACGCTTTTCCCAGAGCATCAGAACAGGACGGAAGAACTCAACCACGGGAGGAAAAGCTTCTCAGCGCCACGTCTCCCCTGTGCTCCCCGCACGTCCCCACGGGTCTGGAGTGGGCTAAATGAGACGGTGGCATCTGACCCTGACATGCCGCCCGGCCGAGCAGGAAATCGGCCCCAACAGAACCTGCCCTGGTGTGGCCTCTGCTAGGAGAGCTGGTCCCTCCCCAGCCCAGAGGGCAGCCGGGCCGCCCCCGCCGCCGTCGGGGCAGGTGTTTGGATGGAGCTGGCTGGAGGCTCCACATGGCGCCACGCGTGCCTGACTCCACGGCCTGTCTAAGCTGCTGCGGGCGACACCTTCAGGTGACTTTTCACTGTTGACTGACCAATAGTTGCAGATAACCGAAAATTGAAACTATGCAATAAAATGGTGGCTAGGAGCAGCGCCGCTTGCTCCCGGGGAGCAGAGACACGCGGCGGCGCGCACCCTATAACTCAGCCCGATTCCAGTAGCAGGGTCCCCGCGGGCTGCTGCCACCGCAGCTGGCGGCCCGGCATGTGCGGCCACGTCACCCAGCACCCTCTCTATCAACCTACATCAAAGGCCGCGGGCAGGGGAACAGGGCTCAGTCCAGCTCTCGTGCATTAAAGAGATTTTTAGAGAGACCTTGATAAAACTCGTGCTTCCTGCTTTTTGATGTGCTTAAGTAAAAGAACATTTTCTTGTTAGAAGAGTGAACACATCAGGAAGCAGGGACGGGCCGAGTTGAAAGCTGAGTTCTCTACTGTGATTTCTTTTTTTTTTTTTTTTTTGAGACAGAGTCTCACTGTGTTGCCTGGGCTAGAGTGAGTGCCATGGTGTCAGCCTAGCCTACAGCAACCTCACACTCCTGGGCTCAAGCGATCCTCCTGCCTCAGCCTCCAGAGTAGCTGGGACTACAGGCATGCGCCACCATGCCTGGCTAATTTTTTCTATATATTTTTAGTTGTCCAGGTAATTTCTTTCTATTTTTTTAGTAGAGACGGGGTCTCGCTCTTGCTCAGGCTGGTCTCGAACTCCTGAGCTCAAACAATCCGCCCGCCTCAGCCTCCCACAGAGCTGGGATTATAGGCGTGAGCCACCTCGCCCGGCCCCTACTGTGATTTTGAAACAACTCGCTACGAGGACCTGCCGCTGCAGCGCGGTTGGCGTGTACATGTCGCTGCCTGAGGGGGCAAGCTGCCCCCACAGCAGAGGGGGCAAGACAATGCCGTGTGAAGAAGGGACGGGCAAAGTGTTTGGGACACTTTCAACAGCAGCCTGGTACTTCACTCACGTCCGGCACCACCCGCCCGCAGGTACAGGGCGGCCTCGGAGCTTTGCTCTCTTGTGATTTACAGGAAAACAAACACCATCGGGACCAGCAAAGCCTGTCGGGAGGAAACAGCCATCCCCTCCCGTCCCCGTCCACCCTCGGCAATTCTGGCCAGCCGCCGGCTGGCTCTGCGACCCGCGGGCACGAGCCCAGGGGCTGCAGGACGTCACGCACACACCTGGGCCAGACGTTGCCTTGTGCCCCGAGCTTGCCCAGCGAAGCCATGCGGGGCTCCAGCTCACCCTCGCCCAGGACCCGCTCACTCATCGCTGTCCTCCCAGGAGTGGCCGCAGGGCCGGCCCTGGCCTAGCGGGCGGTGATGCCACGGCTGTCCTCCTCACGTGGCTGCCGCGTGGGGGACACACAGGGAGCTAGTGTCACTCTCATCCCTGACTGAGCCGGCTGGTGCCTGGGACTCAGGCAGGCCTCATGCTGGCCCCCGGGACGCTGCCTTGTCACCTCTGCCATGCTGCGGCCTGGCAGGGCACAGCCGTGGGCCTCCTCCTCCGGCCTCAGTGCCTGCCCTGTGAGGTCAGGAAGGTCATGGCAAATAACGCTGACCAGAAACAGCACCAGGTCAGAACCCCGCGTCACTTCACTGGAGACCCCTCCGTCACTCGTCCCACAGAAGCTGGCTGGATGCCAGGAGCGGGGCTCTCCAAGTGGCACTTTCTGCCCTCGCCCTTGAAAGGTCCTCTCTGTCCAGGACACGGTGCTCCCTGCTCCGCCCCGCAGTGTCGGCGAGGACACAGCACGGAGCCCTGCTGTCGCCTGTGGGCCCAGCATGGCAGACGGGCGCTCAGGCTGACCCCTGAGCCACCGGCTGGGCCGTGTGACAGCTGACACGCCCCAAACCCGCCTGAGAGCTCCCCAGAGAGATCGGCTGTCCGCAGAGGACGGCCAGAGAGTAAAACACCGAACTTTTCCGGACTGATGTTCTTGACGTGAGCCACACGTGACGGGAAAGGAAACTAAAAGCACCTTCTAGAAGGGCCCTGGACCACCCTCCGAGAGAGGAGGGCTCCTGCCATCGCCGCCCCCTTCCTCCGGCCGTAATCACAGAGCTTTGCCAAACTCCTGACGGCCCTGCAGGCGGAGGCGGGACGGCGTCCACATAGGCACAAATACCAACTCGCTCCCGTGGTTGTCAGTGCCGGGGTGGCCGGGCCGTGGCACTGAGCCCGACGACGCCGAGTGCTCTGCGGGGCTCTGGGGTCTTTGTACCTCGTTTCCCAGCAGAGCAGAGACACACGCTTCCGAGGCGTCGCAGATGGCGGTCAGGTCGTGGCCGCCCTCGAGGGCCAGGACGATGCGGCCGCCGGCCAGGGCCATGAGCTGCTTCGTCAGGTACCCGAAACCTGCAACAGGAGGCGGGAGAGGAGCGGAGGTGAGGTGGGCAGCGGGTCAAGGCGTCCCAGAAACACATCACGTCACATCACAACAGACCCCCAGGGCTGGGACACCGACACCGTGACAGAGGCCGGTTTCACGCATGCACTGAAGCTCTCGGTTTAGGGCTCCGTTTGTGATCTCTTTGAGAAGATGAACTACGGTTTCAGTGCTTTGACTTTATAACACAGCAGCTCCGGTTCGGGGGAACGAGGGCAGCCGGGCCCCACCTAAAGGACGAGTGCCACCTGCCCTCCAGCTCCCAGAGGGGCACGGCCGCCAGGGCGCGGCCAGGGCTCCTCCCACAGAGGCCCACTGGGCTCGGGTCATCTGCCGTGCTCTGCGTATGTCCCCGCGCTGCGCCCACATCCCTGGCCCTCGTTGGAGCTGGGGAACCACTCGCTGCTGGCTGGTGGCCCTGCCACGGCTGAGTCAGCAGACTGAGCCCAACACGGGCTGCAGTCCCGGCACCTGCCGGGTGCTGGCAAGGCCGTAACATCCCAAACCCCCGGTCCTTCTCCATCCCATGCAAACAGCGACTTTGCCTTTGAGGCCGTGAGGACTGAGTGAAGAAGCTCAGCCCTCAGCTGTGGTGGCGCCCTGGGCCGGGCGCGGCGCAGCATTGTGCGCGGCAGGTGCTCTCTGCCCTCTGCCTGGTCACTTCCTTGGCCACTGGGCCCCACAGCCCAGGGGCAGGTGGGCTGAGATGCCTTGCACGGGGGCACGGCCACCCTGAGGCCCCTCCCTATGTGAGGCCACCAACGCTGATGGGGGACAAGGGGCAGCTTGCTGGACGCCAGGGCCTCGAGGAAGTTGAGGGGCCCGGGGATCTTCAGGCTGCAGGAGGATCCCAGGATCCTTGGGGGGATCTGACTCCAGGGCACGGGGCGGCCATGGCTGGGTAGCTGAGGGGCAGCCGGGCCTCTATGTGACCGAGGTGCTGACACGGGCATCTTCCCCATGACCTGCTGTGGCAGACCAGACGCAAAAGGCGCAGCCACCGCCGGGCCGTGCCGCTGTGGGTCCCCCCCGTACTAAGAGCTCGGCCTCTGCCTGCCGCAACCTTCACGAGCTCCCGTGTGCGTCCGGGGCCCTCCTCCAGCTCTGGAGCCGAGGTGCTACCAGCAACTTGTCCCCCCAGGTTCTGAGGGCTGTTCTCCCCTTCAACACAGGCTGCAGTGGAGACCAGAGCAGCACAGAGCGCGTGCGGCAGGGGGACGCCCTGCACACTCCTGGGCACCAGCATCCCTGAGGAGGGAGCCTCGTGTGCCCTGGGTCCCTCCCTCGTGGGCAAAGCGCACCCCTGGGGATCTCGACGGCCTGGCGGCCGGTGCCGTCACCACCCAGTAAGAATGAAAAGGCGGCTCTCCTTCTCGTTACGACGTGGGAGACGGGACTTGCGGCACACAGACGGTCACCACAGGAGCACAGCGTGTGGCGGGTGACGCCGGCTCCTCGGCAGCTGTTGACACTCACACTTGGCAGAGAGGTTGTAGCCTCCGAGCGGCGTGGGGTGTCCCTCCACGGCGTCGAAGCCTGATGACACCAGCACCACATCTGGGGCGAACTCGCTGGCGATTGGCATGACCACAGTTCTGCAAAGGCAGGGGAAGTGTCACCAGGCCAGCGGAGGACACAGCTGCAAGGAGGACCCGACGGGCGCCAACGCCCCAGGGCTCCCTCCAATACTGCACGGCCGGCTCCGCAGCCGAGTCGGCTGCTGGAGGCTGCGCACGGGAGGCCGGCACCTGGAGGCTCACGCTGATTGGAAGGGAATCAGTGCGAGGGCCACCACGGCTCCTTTCGTAGAGACTTTAAAGTCCAAGTCTGCAAGCCCAACACACGCTCAGTGAAAGCTGCAGTGCAGGTACTGCTCCACGTGCTTTAGAGCAGACGTGTCGCCCACAGCACCAGCTGTATCCCCTGGGGGGGCACAGCCACCGCCCGTCCTGCCAATAGCCCTCCCAGCCCTGACCACCCTACTCCTGCCCTCCCTCCCCCATCCTCCCTGCCCCGCCCCACCCCCACTCCTGTCCTCCCTCCCGCATCCTCCCACGCTGCCACCTAGGACGACGGCCCTTCCACCAGCCGCCCGGCTGCTCCACAGAAGGGGCAACGTCAGGGGGTGTCACCGGGCACTCAGAGCTGTAAACCGCCACATCGTGCCAGATTACAGGCGAAAACATCATCTTCGAAATCTACAACTGAATCTAAGTGTAAAAACTCACTCAGCAGCTGGAAAGAAATGATCTTTCAATTCATTTCCCCACCAGGGCCCCGAACAAAACCGACCGAGCCCGAGGCCAGCACAACCTCAGAGCAAACCGAGCTGGCGGGGCTGCCGGGCCTGCGGCCGCGGGGATTCCATCGGAGCCGGGTCCAGGGCCGACGTGTCATCCTTGTGTCTCTGGCTGCCTCTCTGTCCCCTAGAGGCCCAGAACTGGCTCTCTTCTCACCAGGGGCTGCCCACCAGGGAGCACGGGCCACCGCAGCAGGCTCACAGTGGCCTCCTGGTACCCTCTGCGCTTTCCTCTCCACGGTATTTTTGTTTTTGGCTCTGCTCTGTCACCCAGGCTGCTGTGCAGTGGCGCAACCAGAGCGCAGCGTAATCTTCAACTCCTGGCCTCAAGTGATCCTCCTGCCTCGGCCTCCCACAGTGCCGGGATTACAGCCGCGAGCCTGGCGCCCGGCCTCCGTGGCATTTTTCTGTAGGGCCTGTGTTGCAGTGTCTGCGGCTGTGAGTGTCCACAGGAACTGGGCCCTGCCTGGCACACGAGCAACCGCCGCAGCTCAGGCTGCAGACCCGGCGGTGCAGGCGGCTGTCGCCATGGGTACTGATGACACGGTTTCACCACCGCGGCAGTCTGGTAAGCGAAAATCCCTGTTAAGTGCTGTGTGCACTCAGGCTTTCGGGGTGAGGACAGAGCCACTGTATGTCCCCTGAAGCCCGATGCTGCCACACACTTGTGCACCATGCAGCTGTGGCCCCCCCAGCTTCCATGCTGTCGGGGGTCCGCCCGGTGTCCTTTCTGAGAGAGTCACCAAACCCACGCTCCATCAGTTGGCAGGCCCGTGGTGGAGCCACAGCCATGCAAAGTGCGAGACTCTGCCGGAGTCAGTCAGAACGAGGACAAGAAGGACGTGGGCCTGGCGACTCTGTCTGCTGTTGCCGACGGTAACGCCCACGGCCCTGGCCATGCCCCCGCCCTTCCTGCCTGCCACCGTGGGCACCGCGCCAGCAAAGGTACACGGCTGCAGGGCGGAGCTGGGTGCCGAGGCCAGGCTGAGACCCTCCCACCCTTACCTGCCCCCCATGCGCCCCAGCCTCTCTGCGCTTTGCCTCCCAACCCCACGAGGTGTGCCTGGCTGTCCCCTGCGGCCCTCCTGAAAGGTAGTGGGCGCTGGCCCTGCTACTTCCAGTCCCTCGGCCGCTCCCACCCTTACCCCCGAGGCTCACACCATCTGCCACTGCCCCCGGCCACGGCCGTCTCACCCACTGTCACGCCTCCAAAGGGCGTGGGTGCCTGGCTCTGTGGGCTCCTTCTGGCGCACACTGGCCATCAGCCCGGAGGGCTCAGGGACCACGCAAACACCCACCGACACCCCACCCGACCCTGGACCGCGGCAGCCCTGTCCCCGGGGTCCCCCGTGACAGCCTCAGGCCAGTGTGCGTTGGACCTCGAGGGCCGGCAGCTCCCATTTCGGGGTGCTCCCAGTCCCCCATAAGACTCCTGGTTCTCGGCACCCCTCCCATCTATACGCCCCAGGAATAAAACGCCAGACTTCGCGCAGGCCGCAGTCCCGCCACTGGCCTCAGGAGAAGGTTTCTGCTGGGCCTGGGCCACGGCCGCGCACCCACGGGTCCTCAGAGGGCAGGGCCTCTGCTGTCCTCCTCCGCACCCCCATTCACTCGCCCTCATCTGCACACTGTCCTCCCTGGGTCACCAGTGCCCGCCCAACTGCCAACTGGGACGGACACTTCCTCGTTTTTTCCTGAAATTCTACCGAGGCGCCCGGGTCCCGGCTGAGCCATTCCCTGCCCCAACCCACGCCTGACTCAAACCTGCTCCTGCGGGGCCTGTGCCTGGCACCCCACCCTCCCCCAGGCAGCACCCGAGACCTCCACGGAGCCCCCACCCCACCCACCCGGCTCCCGCTGCCCTCGGCAGTGTCCCCCGTTTCGCTCCTGCGGACGGCTCTCCTGCCCGCCCCCGTGGCCCAGCCTGGCTGGGCTCTGTCATCCTCTTGCGGAAATACCTGCCCCACCCTGGGCCGCTCCATCCTGGGACCAAGCCCTGAACTGCTGGGACACAGGCCCACCCCGCCTACAGGTGTGGCTGGGACGCTTCCTCACCAGTCAGAGCCCCTGCATGGGGCCCCGCCGTGGCACTGAGGCCAAAGTCCCCGCACGCGGCCAGGCAGGCAGGTACACCCCAGGCTCTGCTCCCTCTCAGCCCCCTGCCACGCTTGCTCCTGAGACGCAGCCCCTCCAGGTCCCACTGCGCCTGCCCAGGGCCTGTCTTCGGTCCCCTGCTGCCCCCAGGGCGGGCGCTGTGCTCCGTCCCCTGCTCGTGTCTCCGAGAGCCCAGCAGGTGCAGGAAGCCTGGCTGAACATGGGATTTCCCTGCTCTGAGCCTCTAGCTCTCAAAGTGTAGAATGTCCTCAGAAAAATTTCTACACAGGAAAATGCCTGGATGCCCAAAAGAGACACAGTTGTCTCCAGAAAAGAAGGCGCAGTGGTTTGGATCGAAACTCTTCATCCCTTAGGCGTGAGGCCACGGCATGGTGGACGCAGTCAGTGCCGCTCCCAGACGGTTAAAACAATAAGCCTTAGGCACGTTTTGGCACAGCCCTAAAAAGAGCTGTCTACAAAAAGCACCACCGAGTCCTACGGGAGAAACAGAAGCTCAAAGGGCTTGGCCTCCGGGCCTCACGGAAAGGCGGGACAGCGAAACGGACCTGCCCGGCCGCGCGCCTCGGGGCCACCGTCAACCCACAAAGAGAAGAGAGTTATCCCTTAGACTATCTGCTTGTGCTCGTGTCTTGGATAAACTTTACGGTACCACATTTAAGTCTAAATCACGAGTCAACATAAGCCCAATTTCACGTCCATGGCCGCTGACAGGCAGGGCTGCTCGTGGCCAGGGCGCGGGGAAGGGAGGGGTTAAGCCGGCGCATCCTGGTCTCCCAGGCCCCCCTCCGCCCAGCCTCCCCCGCTCCGCGACTTCAAAGCTCCCCTGACTGGTTTGAATTAGGTCCCTCTTCTCCTACAGCTCTCTGAGCCCGCAGAGAAAGTGCCGCTGCCTCTGGATTTCATTAGGGGCAGTTTTCTTATCTCTGCTCCATCCTAGGCTTGATCCCTGAAAATGCAACCTGGCAGGCGAGGGGTCTGGGTAACAAGGTGCTGCCTTCAAGGCACGCACTGTCCCAGGGGCCCCCCCGGACGCGGGAGAGGCCAGCAGAAGGGGAGATGAATCCCTACCCCTCTTCCCATCACCAATGCCCGGGGAGCTGTAAATTGTGAACTTCAAAGTGCTATTTTACATTACAGTCAATAAAAAAAACCCTGAAACAATTTTCCTTTTCAAAGAGGCTATTTAAGCTTTAAAAAGCTCACTTGATAAGGTATTATCGCGTACACACTTGGCGGAGGATGAAAGCAGACGTGGGGAGCAGCTCAGACAGAAAGCTCGCCCCAGAGGCTGCAGGCGGCCCTGGGGTCTGGGAGGAGGCTCGAGGGCAGACCCCGGCCACCTGCCCTGCCTGGCCTGGGCCTGCCAGCCGCAGGGACACCGGAGGGGATTTTTCACCAGAATCAGACAAAGGCACAGCCAAGAAACGCCCACGAGGGCAGGGCCAGTCCGAAGTGCCTGAACGCACCGACCTGAAGGACGAGAGAACCGCTATCACGTACCCGTCAACCCAGCACGTTCTGCCTCCCTCCTCTGCACCAGGATCCGGCCACGCTGGGCCCTGGGTCTTCTGGGCAGTGCCAGCGTCTGCCCAGCAGAAAGCCGACTGTTCTCGTGGGGAGACCACAGGGTGGCGCCAGTGGGGAGCGCGTTAGGGACGGATAGAGACGGCCCCCACTTCACGGGTTCAGAGTTCACACTGGCAAATTTTCAGATGTATGAGTTTGAGGAAGTCCTTCTCCCCTAAACTACGCAGGGCAATTGTCAAAAGTACGTTATATCTGATCAAGAGTAAGCAGAAACAGCAAAATCAAACCAACGAGACCAGAGGGAAAGTGGTTCGGGAGAATCAGTGCGGGCTGCGCAGCGCTGGTTCGCTCCTGTGCACACAGACCAGTTCTAGTTCGGCGGCTGCCTGCCGCGACTGAATCAGAGGGGTCCGCTTTCTCCTAGGGACCACTTGTCAGCCGGGGAAGGGACCCGCACCTGCTGGGCCAGCCTTTCCATCCCCAGACCCCAACCACCTTCCCAAGGGGAGGATGGGACCCCGTTTCAAAATGAGCGAGCAGATGCCGATGGGGGTCACGTGACTTGCTCAGGGTCCTCCCGGAGCACGTGGCAGAGTCCACATCAAACTCTTACAGGTGTCCTTGTGCAGGGGCTGGCCAGCAACGTGCATACTCCCACCCCCCCACAGAGACACGTGCATACACTCACATCCCCACAGATGAGCACACACGCACAGGCATGTACACACGCACCTGCCCAGACACGTGCACGGGTCCAGACACATGCAAACACACACACTGCACACAGATGTGCTTGCTCAGACACGTGCACACACGTCCACAAAGAGACACATACACATCACACAGATGCATGCTTGCACATATGTGCTTTATGTGTGCATACACCAGACCACCATCATGGAGGCAGAGAGAAAAATGCTCTGGAAACTCCGGGGGGCTCTATGTCATCTGGCACCAACAGCGTTTCCTGACAGACTGAAGTCTGTCCCTCGGCCGCACTAACATAGCCCCTCACCTTGGGGCCGGGGGCTGCTGGGGGCTGCGGCTCCCACCCACTCCACCCTGGCGGCGGAGGCGCGGCTTCCACTCCACTGCGCAGGGAGAGAACCTGCACCGAGAAACCATCCAGTTCTGGTTGCAGGAATTATTTAATCTGGCCAAGACCAAAGTAGAAATTCCCCTTTGATGACAAAAACAAACGCTGCGTTTTAAAGAAATGTCACCCTGCAGCTATATTCCAAAGGGCCAGGGTCAGGCGGGGGCCCCGCTGTGAAGGGGCCGCGGTTTTATGTGTGAATACAGGGAAACAGCAATTTCCATTCGCGTCATCTCGCAAAGGGTCCGCAGAGGAACCCTGAGGGGACTGCTCATGCCTTCATCTTCCATCAACACACTTTGCACAAGACCAGCCTTCGTCTCTAGCACTTTCTTGCTATCTGGACCCCAGACGGATCTGATATTTTTTTAGTGCACAGAAAAGCATCCTGAGAACAGGTAAGAAGACGTCCAAAGATTCCACCTCCGACCCTGAGGAGTGAGCTGAGACAGCCCCGTTCGCCTGCGGACGAGGTTTCAGAGACGCTGACCTCTGGGCTGTCCTCCCCGGTCACCTGGAACGGCTGCGCCAAGGAAGAGCTGCCAGGGTCCCAGGGACGAGAAGCCTGAAGACTCACCTGAAGGCCGCCAGGTACTCCGTGTCGCCCATGGGGGGGTTGAGGCCACCGGTGAAGGCCATGTTGACGTTGAAGCCCACGCCTGGCCCTGTGCCCACCTGTGGCCAGAAGGAGAGAAGCGCATGTCACAGACCCTAGAGTGGGACCTCTGCGACGGGGACAGCTGATGGGGGCGGCCCCTGCAGGGAGGACCAGGTGTCACGGGCTCCTGGCACGTGCTGTTAAAATGTGTGTGAAGCTGGCCACCCGCAGCCCCGATGCTGACATCAACATGCAGTATTTCAACGGGACGCGGCGGGCGCTCACGCGCCCTGCACTGGCGGGGAACGACTCTCTTCCTTCGGCCACGGGGGCACACTACGCCCCCCAGTAACACCGCCTGGGACCTGCCAATCCATACGGTGCCCTACGGTAGCTAACACAGGAAATCAGACCAGGGTCTCTCCGGGTGAAAATGAAGACGATTCTGTCACTTCCCACTTCCTTTCAAGAAGTTAGACGTGGAGGCAGAGGAAGCCTCTGCCCTGGGTGGAAGCCCCGCGGTGGGGACCCACGTTCACAGGGAGGGCAGGCTCTGCAGGGACACGGGCACCGCGGAGCAGCCTCGGGCCTGCCATTCTGGGGCCGCCGTGCAGCCCAGGGCAGGCGGAGAGGACAGAGGACGCAGCACCTGCCCGGGGTGTCCCGCAACAGGCGCCAGCCCGGAGCGCCACTCCTCTCGCACAAGCCGCCCTGGCCTCGCCTGGAGGAAGCGGGCCCCACACGCTCACTCCAGCGCAAATACCGCCATCTGCCTAGATCGCGACCAGGAACGACCTCCAGCCTCTCCCCTGCCCTCAGACAAAGCTCCGGTGCGCGCACACGTGTGGTGGGATCTAGGCGGATGTCGACTGAAATTACTGTCTGGGCGCCAGCGAGTGTTTGGCCCCTGCTTCTGTCCCAAGTGGGCCCTGTCGGCCCTGCCCCTCAGAGCGGCCCGCAGTGGCGCCCGCCGGCCGGCCCCCTTCCCAGGCCGCGCAGGAGCCCCACTCACCTCGTCAGGCGCCCCGCTGCCCGGGAAGAAGTTCCCGTCGTCGTAGCGGTGCAGCGACACGTACAGGACGCTGGGGTCGCTGTAGAAAGCCTGCTGCGTCCCGTTCCCGTGGTGCACGTCCTTGAAGACAGAGAGGATGGACTCAGGCAGAGCCAGGCGTCGGGCGTGGCCCTCACCACGCGCTGTCCCCATCTGTGCCAGTGACAACAGCCCCTGTTCACGGACGACCTCGCGCCTCTAGCCAGGCCGGCACCTGGCAGGGTTGGGGCAGGGCCACGTGGCTGGGGGTCTCGGGGACTCCAAGGACATGGTCCAAGTCTGTGGTGCATCTTCCTCACCCCTAGCACGTGGCACGTGCCTGATGCCAGTGGAGAGCTCAGGCTGGTGTCTCAGCCAGGCCCGGAGGCCGTGATTTTCCAAGCAACTTTGATCAATTCCTTGCTCCTGCCTGTCTCTGGGACAAGGGAGCCATTTCCTCAGCCTCCTTGGGGAGGGAAGCCACTGACTGTGGCCGTCCACTTACAGGCACGTTTGAAGTACCAACCCCGTGTCAGTCACGGGTGGAGGGCAGGAGACAGGGCCCACCTGGCTGGGGGTAACGGCCCGTGCTAAAGCCACAAGCCACTTTGCTTAACACAACTCCCAGGCGTTCAGAGCACCAGAGGGCAACAAAAGCTCGGGCCTGTGGCCGTCCCATCCCGGATCGGCAGGCGAGGACAGCCCTGCCGTACACAGCTGTGCGCCTGAGAAAAGCTGCGCACGGCCAGAGGCTTCGCACACGGGAACTTGCTGCTTCACGTCTTCCTATTTACAAAGGCGATCTGTGCTCGTGACAGGGCCTGGAAGTGCAGTTCCACAGGGCAGCAAGGACAGGCGCCCACGACCCCACCGAGGGAGCATGCAATCACTCCGGCTGCGGACCACGCCGGGGCTCCCCACGGTGCGTGGCTCCAGAGACGGGCCCGCACGGTCACCCCAACAGCACGCCCTTGGCGAACACGTGTCCACACAGGCCGTCCCCTCGCCCTGAGTCCCCTGATGGGCAGAGAGGGTCCCCAGCCTCAGCCGCTGGCTGCCTCAGACCTCTCTCCTCACCGCTTTCCACTGACGCCTTGGAGCTGGGCAAAGGCTCGCTGGCCCCAGGCCGGCGAAGACCCTGACTGACTCGCCCCAGCCACGCTCCCCCGGCCAGGTGAGAGCCCGCTACCTACAGAGCCAGCTCGCCGACCCGGGAGCTCGCCTGGTGTCCTGGCTTATGTTTTGTTGCTTTTTCCCAAACTGAGGAGGGCTTCCGCAGTTCAGATTATAACCCAACCTGATGGACCTGCTTTTTATTCCTTAAAAACATTACGGGATAAATCATGAACCATAAATACCCACACTGTATGTGGGTATACGTGGCTTCAAAAAGTAATGAAACAAGTACTTTGAATATTCATTCCCAGTGCAAGCATCAGCACACCTATGTGGGAATTCAAACTCAGGTGTCATACAGCATGATTTAGAAAGCGCTGACGCTTTTGGAGCAGTGGGGCTTGGCGATGCGGCACCTCTTCTAGAGGAGGAGAAGCCGTCTCAGCCGCCCCCATTCTAGCGCTCTCGGGCCGCACGCCGCAGCGGGAGGGCCGCCAGCTGTGTCTCAGCCAGCGAGGGACGTCCGAGGCTCCTGGTGGGAGGCACGACCCCACGCAGGCCACCTGCCCACAAGATCGTGCCCAGCGTCGCCCCGGCTGCTGCCTCAACCGCAGGTACCTCCTGGGAGGGGTCAGGAGTGCGGGGCTGGCGGGGTTGGCAACAGAAGCTGCAAAACGACGCCTAGCAGGGGTGGGGCTTTAGTTTTCTGCCATCTTTGAGGCAGTTTCCAGAAAGTTACGTTCCCCCGATCCAAACGCCCTCCTCGCCCTGCACACACGCGGCCGCCGCCGGGAGCACGGAGGGGCCCGGCCCAGCCCTGCTGCGCGAGGCGGCCCCACTCACCCAGTCCACGATGAGGATCTTGCTCACGTTCAGCCTCTGCTGGAGAAGCTTGGCGGCCACGGCCACGGAGTTGAAGTAGCAGAAGCCCCTAGAGGACGGAGTCAGGACAAACAGGGATAGAACGTGGGCGTCCGTCAGTCGGCCTTTCTACGGCTTGCGATAGAACCATCTAGAATGCCCTGAGATTCTAAGAGGGTTCTGGCGAATTCCCCAAATAGTTGGGGAACCGTAACTGATGCTGCATGATTGGCCGAGACAAAGATGCGCACACACCCCACAGACACACACCACACAGATATACATGTACACACACCACACAGACACACACATGCACACACACCCCACACAGATATACACATACATACACCACACACAGCGCAGATACACACATGCACACACCAGATATACATGTACACGCACCCCACAGACACACACCACAGTTACACACATGCACACACACACCACGCAGATATACATGTACACACACCCCACACAGATATACATGTACATGTACCCCACAGACACACACCACACAGTTACACACATGCACACACACCCCACACAGATATACATGTACACACACCCCACAGACACACACCACAGTTACACACATGTACACACACCCCACACAGTTACACACATGTACACAAACCCCAGACACACACCATAGATACGCACATGCACACACCACACAGATATACATGTACACATACCCTACAGACACACACCAGTTACACACATGCACACACACACCAGATATACATGTACACACAAACCCCCCACACACCATACAGATACACACATGCACAACCCCCCCCACATATATACATGTACACACACACAAGACACACACACACACACACACACACACACACACACACACACGGTCTTCTCGCTGGAGATTTCCAACACTCCCGTAGTAAGAAAATCTATTTTACTTTTTCCAACGTTTCCCTCTTATTTGCCTCAGGAAGCTTTGCAGAACACTTCCTGAACCTCGAGAGACACTGTGGTCCACAAAACACAGAAGCGACTTATTTCAGTTGCTTCCTGCTTATCTTTCCATGTTCTAAGAGATGACTGGCTGTAATTTTAAAGAGTCTTATTCAAAGACCAAGAAAACAAGCTAAGAAAGGGGTTCCAGTCAAAATGAGAATCTTCTCCACCTACATCTTCCCTCGCGCATCCCCACCGAGACGCTGGTCGCCTGTTTCCAGGATCCAGGCTGCGGCGAGAAAGCCGCGCACCCCAGAGCCCCGTCGGCTTCTCGTGGGGGGCCGGCCCTGCCGTCCTGCACTCGGAGCCGCGTCTCAGCTCCCGGGAGCACTACAAACTGCGGCTAAAAATGTCTATCTTCGTTTGGGTTCATTACTCAGAACATCCAACAACTCAGACTCGAATCGGAAGGTACATCGGAGAGATGAAACAGACAGAAAATGCGATACCTAGGATGGAGTGCTTTGCAAGGGACCGCAGGGTTTTCCAGGTAGAGCCACAAGGATTCCAACCTGAGGTTCACCCCATGTGGCTCTGATCTCTCCTTTCTGGGCACAAAGGAGGTCCCCTTCTGGAACATGGATCTGGTCATCTCACCTCCTGACGTGAGGTTCGGAGCCTGCCTCCTGCTGACACCCGAGCTCGCTGGGTGCACAGAGGCCCCCTCCCGGCCGCGTGTGGCTCGTCCTCACTCTGGCTGCTCCTGGCCACGCTGCGCCCGGCCCTCCCCGACGGTGCACGTGCAGGCGTCTGACTTGCTGTGCCATCTGACAACTGCCGCTCACATTCCTCAGGGCAGAGCCCAAGGCCACCTCCTCCTCACGCTAGCCACCAGCACGGGGTGTAAACTGCTCCCAGTGCTGGTCCCGCCTGGCAGGTGGTTTCTGCGTCCCCGAGACGGCACGCTGCTTGGCGGGATGTCTAGCTCCCCGCCCGGGCGCAAAGGCACTCAGCACACAGCTGCGGGCCGAGCCCGTGCTGACCTTGCCCAGGTGAGTCTGCACCTGCCGCTGGTCCCGGTGACCATGTGGGACAGTCCACGCTCGGTCCCTTGTCTAGAAGACCTGAAGCAGAGCCCAGCAAGCCGGCTCGTTGGCCATGACTTTGTGACTGGCCTCAGTAGCACGCTGGCTGACCAGCGGGTCAGCTAACAGGCCGCCACACCTGAAACGACCTGCGGGGCTTCGCCGCCAGGGCCCTAGACATCAGCGTCACGTGAACCTGCTCCAGAGCGAGCTGCTCCTCCCGCGCTCGACGGCAAATTCAACGACCAGGAGACGTCCCTGGACTAACCACCACGGACCCCTCTCCTCTCCTTCATCCCACTCTTCCTCACAACCGCCCAGTGGTGCTGGCAGCTTCGGCATCTGTGCTCAGCGCCTAAAGCGGCTCTAGCGCCACGCGTGCTTCACACATGTTGGCGCGCGGGACGTGGAGACAAGCTGGGCCACGCCACAGGCAGGCAGGGAGCAGCCCCGTCCCTCTGCTGCCACTCTGGAGCCACATCCCCTGCCCGAGAGGGACCGCGTGTCTACTTACATGGGTGTGCTCTCCTCGGCGTGGTGTCCCGGGGGGCGGACCACAGCAAAGCCGTTCTGCAGACGACAGCAGACAGGGGAGAGTGACAACACACGTTTTATATCCAGGAGAAATCGCTACAAACCGAACTGTTAGCCTAGAATGCATCGGAGGACGTGGTTTCTCGCCGCGTCCAGGCCACAGCGCCGTGGACGGGACAGGGCTGCTGGGAGCCCTACCTGGTTCCTTCCTCTCCCAGGGTAACCCAGGTACCGAGATAAGAGGGGAGCTGGCCCTGCCTTTCCCTCCGCAGCGGCCTGCTCAGCTCGGGGACTGGGTGTCGCCCCGGAGCCCGGCGAGGCCGCAGCACCAGGCCTCAGCGCACTCACCACGTTTGTGGGGGACGAAGCCGTCTCCCTTAAAAACGTCCTCGATGAGACAGAAGTTAAACGTTTTATTAAACCTCCACCCTGGAACACGTGAACTTTTACATCCCGAGTGAGAGCTGGGAAGGAAGCTGCCACGGAGCAAGGGCGGGTGTCCAGGGCAAGAACGGAGCCGCCGTGCGAGCCGCGGGCTGAGGGGGCGCCCAGCTCGAGGAACCCCGACTCTCACTGAAAGAAGGACCCGGGCCAACGACGGTTATTCTGACTCAGGTCAACTTAAGATAGATCTCAGAATCAGACAAAGTGAGCTTGTCACTTCAAGGAAAGCGGCAGGCAGGGTTGTCAGTGATGAAATTTGGGCTTTCAAGTGAACACTGACAGCTTGGAAAACACGTGTCTACCTTTGAGCACGGTGCTCCCCGCACTCACAGGCTTTCCTGGCGAGAGGGGCGGTGATACTAATCTCTCCAAAATCACTGATTTATGGTTTTGTGATATAAAATAGGGTCTGGATTTGGGAGACCTACGTAACTCAGTGAGCCCAAATTTCCCAATGGCCGACGTGTGCTGCTGGGAATCCCCCACCGCCACGCAGGGCCCGCTCAGCCCGCAGGAAGGCTAAGGGCTTGGACGTGACGGGGGCCTGGCTTGGCTCCAGGCTCCACGTTGCAGCTCGTCTTCGAGACACTGCCACTTGTTAAGTCCTGCCGTGGCATCAGAGAAGAATGCCCACAATCATCGGAAAAGGCTTTTAAAATGCACCTCCGCTTCCCAGTTACGGGTCTGCGGGAGGCCAGGCTTTCTGCACACGCAGCTCGTGTGCAGACGACGACGTGAGCAGGTGCGAGAACTCGGCTGCCCTTCGTGAACCAGATATTAGCATTTCTAAATGAATAAATATTTTGATAATTTCTCAGGCTTAATCTCCAATACGGCCCATACTGACGATGGAACTCACATAAAGAAAAACTCTTTGGCTCCCTCAACAATTGTTAAGAGATAAAGGGCTCCCAAGACCAAAATCCCTGAGTCTCTGCACTAGGTCTGTGTGGTCACGAACGTGGACTGTCCCTCGCCCCAGCAGCCAGGCCGTGCCGACGGAGCAGGGCCTCCCTTCGCCCCGGACGGGGCCACGCCCGCGACAGTCCGTCCGCGTCCCCCTGCCCCTCCCCCGGCTGGGAATCTGCCGCAGCCCCGGGAGCCCACGGCCGCCGGCCCGACTGACCTTCAGCTCCCCCGTGGCCACCTTGAAGACCAGCTCCACCACGCAGCCCACGGCCAGGCGGGCCGCCCCCGACGAGTGCACCTCGTTCCATATGGTGTCGCTGTCCACCTGTGGGAACAACACCGCGGTGAGGCAACGTCCGTGGTCACCGTCACCACCCACCGGGTGGGCCGTGCAGCCGTGGGCCCCGGGCACCGGTGGCTTGTCTCTGAAACCCCAGGACCACATCTGGGCTCACTTCCTCTTGAGACGTGCCACAAAATACTAAAGGGAAAAATAAAAGTGAAAACACCAGAAATAAGACGTGTGTTTTCACTGAGTCTGAGGAATCCTCTCTCAACTGCTCCAATACATGGGGCGCGGACAGTGAGGACGTCAAGGTCACCATTTCCCTTTTGTTCTTTTTACCGCAACCGCAGCCAAGAGAGTTACTCAGGTGGTGTCTCTCTAATCCGAAAATGTGAAATGCTGCAGAACCTGAAACTTTCTGAGTGCCCACGTACGCTCCAAAGACACGCTCGCTGCGGCGTTGCGGGTTTCAGATTTTCTTGTTAGGTAGGGATGCTGAACCAGTACGTACGATGCAAGTATCCCGACATCTGGAAAAACCTGCCATCTGAAACACTCTGGTCCCAAGCACGTAGGACAAGGACGGTCAACTGTACTGACAATCAGCAAAACGACTGTAAGAGGAGCCAGCGCCAGGGTCTCCTCATATCACTGCTCGTCCTGTGCTGAACCTAACTGGAAGCTCCAAACACGGACACGAGTGAAACAGGCCCGGGAGAGCCCCCTGCTCCACCCCTGGGGACAGCAGGTCGGACCTTAGTCATTTCCACTTCAAACAGAAAACTGTTTCATGCAGACACGTCAAACAGCTTGTTTGTGTGTTGGTTCATTTATTTATTCAGGCACATTAGAATTTTTAGCCCTGGCTACCGTGGGCGAGAAGGACAGAGACGCTGACAGCCAGTTCTGCGGAGAACAGTCTCCCGGGGGAGCCTGGGGGGTCAGAGGGCTGCCAGGAATCACGCGGCCACCGCCAGGCGTGGGCAGCCTTCCCCGTCTCCCTCGCCGACAGGACGCTGTGGGCCAGCCACTCCTTGGGCAGACACACTTGGGACTTGTGCCCTTCCTGGGGACGTACCCAGCCCAGTGAAGGTCCCCGGAACCAGGATGAGCTTATTCGACTTTCACACGACGTTTCCGGCTCCGTGGGAGGAGCCTCCTTCTCATGCTGACCTGCCCCGAGCGCCGAGCGGTCTGGGGCTCCTGGGCTGGGCCGACCCGGGCCTGCTCTGCCCTCCTCTACCCCGGCCCAGGCGCACCCGGGCACCTGCCCACTGCGAGGCCAGCATGCCGCTTGACAGACGCCAATCGTTATGTGGGAGGGACGGGTTTCTTTCCAGGCAGCCTTGAAGCTTCACCTTCAAAGCAAGGCGATTTAAAATGCATTTACATGGGCTGAATACATTTCCTGAAGAGTGCATTCGGCAGTGGTTACTCTTTCAACAACCGAACTTCTATGTTCTTTAAATAGTTTCCAAATGTCAGAACACTCTCCACTTTGCCTGCTCTCCACAGCGTTAATGCTCAACTTGCAAAGAATGGCTTCTATTCCAAATAATGGCACATTGTGATTCATTGAAGCAGCCACAAAAATAGGCCCATCCTGGGCTGGTTACTTCAGCTGCAGAATTGGTCCATTAGCATCAAAGGTGACAGACCAGCCAGAGCTGCGCAGGAGAGAGCCACCAGCCGCCCTGGCCCTCTAGGCGTGGCAAGGTCCTGGGCGGGCCAGGCCCAGGGGCTGCACCCGTGAGGACAGCGGTTTGGCCTAAAGCACTCAGAGATTGTTTCCATTCCAAATGCGATGACCTGGGCTTTAGGACTAAGGACATGTGACAGGGAGGGGAAGGGGCCGACCCCCGAGCCATGAAGGGCCTTTCTTGCTGCTCCGCTCCCCTGGCCGCTGGGCACACGGGCACCCGTGTCTGCAGGCCCAGCCGTGCCCCTCCTGCGGGACCCTGGGGCTCAGAAGCTCCTGGATAAACCCCCAGCGCCACTGCAGGCTCCCAGGCTGCCACCGTCCCTAGAGAACCCCACAGCTGCTCCTGCTGCTCCCCTGGGGCCGGCGAGGCTCACGGCAGGGAGCGGGGCCCCGGCCAGCAGAGGGCCATCGCTCACCAGGAAGGGGTCAGAGAGAAGGTGAGGCTCGTGCGGGCTTTGCACAGGAAAAGACAGAAAAAGGGCGGAGCAGAAACGTGGAGAGAGATCCTCGAGGAGCTCTGGAGCGGACACGCTGCAGGGCGGCGATCTGGGGGCCGCAGAGCGGGGCGCACCCAGACCATGCAGGACCCAGGTTCAGCAGGGGAGCTCAAGGACGCCACCCCCTTGCTCGTTTGCAGCTTGTAATAATTGGGAGAGGAACGAGGCAGACGTTTATTTGGTTTGAAAAAAGGTTGAAACGATTTTAAGCCCGTATTTTACCACGGTTAAAGAAAGATGAGTTTTAAACTTTAATGGTACTGCCACACAACCCAAACGCCAGCTCAAAACCGCTTAGGGGACGGGCGCCAGCCTCCCCGCCTGCTCTCCTCCCAAGGGCACTTTGGCTCCTGGGCCGACACCCCAAAGGGCTGGCCTCTGGCTCTGGAAGGGGACACTGAGGCACGGGCGGACGGCATCTGTGCCAGTGATGGCTAGTCCAGCCCAAAACCAAGGCAGGGACCGTGCCGCCGTCTGTGTCCTCCTGTCAGAGGTCATTGCGGAAAACGACAGGAAGAAAACAGGACCTAAGGGCTCCACTCTCCACTGCTGCTTCCCCTGGGCCCTCTCTGCCCAGCTCGGCCGCTGAGCCGCTCCAGCCGTGTCTGCGCACAGGCCCGTCTTTGTGCCCGGACGCAGTGCGGCTCTGCTCGGCCGCCACGCCTCAGATCTGGACTCGGCGTGCGGGAGGGGCTGCCTGGGCTCGACCCCCAGGGCTGACCCTGCATTTAGCTTTCATTTGCAAATTATAAATTCTGCCGTGCACAGGCGTGCCGGCTGCAGGGCAGTGCAAATCCAAATCTTTTCAAGTCTGGCCAAAAATTTGCCCCGAATTAAGAGATTGCAGCCTATTTACAATACAAAATAAAATAACTCTAGGAGGGCTTGGTGGTGGTATGAACAAATGCCCTTTATTCTCTTTCTGACGGGATAATTTTCAAAGCGGCGATTTTTGTAAAGACTCAGGAAGAAAACAATTTTGTTTCATTTCCATAACAGAATCCAGACCTGCACCCTGCGATCCGCGATCACACACACGCTGCAGTTTCAGCCACAACGGCTCTTGCTGTCCACCAGCTCCTGCCCGCCGCGCCGCTCTGACCGTCCCTGGCGCCTCTCGGTGCTCTGGAACCGCGAGGGTCGGTGGATTGGCCGGGGGGCTTGGCCTCACCTTCACACTGCAGTTCTGTCACTGTCCTCCCCGCACACCTGTGTGCGTCAGAGCACGGCAGTGGGAGAACTGCTGTCACTGGGAAGTTTGTCCAGACCCGCCCCGCCCTCTGAGGAGCGGCGCATGACAGATGGACGGTCCCGTGCAACTCCAGCCTCCGGCCGGGTCTGCGGCGTCTGCCGTAGAAGGGAGGCCCAGTCAGCAGCAGCCTCACGCACGTCGCACGGCCGTGTGCACCATGTCCCTGCACCGAGAGCTTCACCTGCAGCCTCGGCGTGGACACTGGACACGAGCAGGCGCACGTTCTAGCAAATGCCGTGCTCACGTCCGAGTGCATGGACCAGTGTTGGGGACTCGGGAGGGGATGAGGTACCAGCCCGTGTGCAGGGTCCTGCGAGCCACAGCCCCCTGGAGCCCGCGCCTTGCGTGCCAGACGACTTTCCCCACAGGACGTGCCCAAGTCCGGCCATCAATAAGCTCTGGGCTCACGCGGCCTTTGAAGCCACACATGGCAGCCCTGCCGCCAGCCCGTGTGTGGAAAACACCTGGCAGCAATTACCGCTCTGAGGAGAGCACGGCTGCGATTTCTGTGACCGCTGGGACCCAAGGAGAAACAGGACGGCACTTACACATTAAAGAGATACTTACCCCAACACCGCCGCAAGGAAGCCGGACAAACACCGAGGTCAGCGAGCCTGCGGGGAGAAGGGGATGGTCAGACGGGCCCGGGCGCGGCGGGTGGAGCACAGTATGGGCTCTGGGAACGCCGGGGTCTTACAGCGCTTGGGCGTTTCTGAGACACGCACAACACGCCGCTTCCTAGGGGTCAACTGCCCCCCAGCACCGCATGGGGCCCTGCTGTGGGTCAGTGTCTGGCTGCAGAGGCGCCCGGCTCTCTGCAAGGGCAGTCAGGCCACACACCCTGTTGGGGACAACTCAAACTCTCACGGCACCAGCCAAGTCCTTAGGGGCTGGGGGAGCACAAGGTACCCCTGGCCCCAGCCCTGTCCCCGGTGCCCTGGGGGGGACCCTGTGCTCCTGCAATGCTCCTGTGCCGCAAGTCCTGTCCCAGGACCTGATCCTGGCTCCTCCGGGCTCCCCTGAGAGTCTCTCGGGAACATGACGACCACGGCCCTCTGGGCTCCCAAGCGTGGACTGTGCTGGCCACGTCCGGATCCAGGTCTCCCCACAGGGAGGCGGGGCCCACAACGCCGCCCCCAGCCCCGTGCTCCAGCCTGCCCCAGTGAAGGTGCTCCCAGCACGGGGACTGAGTCTTTTTCTTCAGTTTGGTCCCACTCCTGGCTGACTGCAGGTGACCAGCTTAAAACCTGCCCATCTATGAGAGACACCTCCCCTCGACGGCGGCGGGGCCCTGTCACCCTGGCTGCTGCCCTGGGTCCCCAGCCCCAGCCTGGGCTGATCTGTGCTGTGGCCAAGGAGACTTAGGGTTGCTGCTCGCCTGCCGGATCTAGCAGGTTCCTTGACCCAGCTTGGGGCCCCACTTTCTGGACGGGGCAGGGCTGGCTGGGCCCTCTGCTGGGAGGCCTCTCCGCCCCGCCCAATTGGGAACCACAGCTCCGGCTCACGACGCTCCCTGCACCTGAGGCCTGTTGCCCAAGGAAGGAGACTGGTGTCGGGGTCAGGTGGGGACCTGGCCAGGCCGGTGACCTCGGCACAAGCAACAAGAGCCTTTCCGCGGGGCAGAACACGTGGCGTGTGGGAAGAGCAGTCGCTGTGGCACCGGCAGCTGCAGGAGCGCAGCTGGCGAGGAGGAGGAGCTCCACTATCACCCGTCCGCTTTGAACCACGGGTGGACCCCACGCTCCCAGGTGGCCCCAGCCAGGTCCTCGGCGGAAGGCCCTGTGGGCAGCTGACCCGGCCACAGGTCTGCCTTTCCCACTGTGCGGGGCCACGCGATGTGCATCGAGGACAGGGGCTTGGAGTCGCCCTCTATGCTGCAGAAGAACGACCACGTCCGCTTCCCGAGGCCGGGGCTGCCACGCCGGCAGGGTGTGGGGCGGGATAGCAGCGGGTGGCACCACAGCCACTTTCTAGAAAAGCTGAGAAACGTCTCCATTTCCAAACAGAATCCCTTGTGCTGGCAGTGGCTGGCCTGTTCAGAGACAGCCTGTGCTGCAGCTCCCTGGTGGCCTGGCGCTGCCGAAGGCATGTCTGTGCCCGACTTGTCCCCACCCTGGCCTGGGCCACACGAGGCACTGAGCCTACGGGGCAGCGGCTTGGACCAGCCCCGACCCAGGCTCTCCCCCCCGCTCTCAGGCGGTCCTGTCCTCGCGCCCGAGGGCAACGGCATCACTGTGGCCTCCCCCTTCCTCGGTGCCGCCCTGGGCCCGCCTCCCACCAGCCTCCCACTCCCCTCCACGGCCTCGGCTAAGTGCTTCTACCCAGAGCCTGCATTAAATGATAAATCATCTGCGTACTTTGATGTTATCATCCTCCAGCAAGCAAAGACCAAATAAAAAACCAGGCGCACCACCACGTGTCCAAACGCACACACCCCACGTTTGGGCGGTGGTGCGGCACGGAGTTACAGGGAAGCTGTTTTGGTAACAGAGACCCGAGCGTCCACGTCAGCCCCTCGGCCACGGTCCTGCCCCAGGAGTGCCCGTGCTCTGCCCGGAGCCCAGGCCTGTCCCCGGCACTGCCTCCTGTGGTTTGGGGCCACAATCGCCTAGACCGGGCCATGGAACCTTCCGGCCTGGTGATGGGGCCGAGGCATTCGTGACTCTCGTGTCCATTTGTAGCAGGCAGGCAGGCAGGCGTCCCCTGCCTGGGAACGGGACGGGCAAGATGCCGACTGTTCTTTCGTCGTGCTACTACTCCTGGCTTGGGCCGGGCCCTCACTGTGCGGAGGGGTCACCCGGCCCTTCCCTGCGCGTCACCAGTGCTCGCGCCCAGGAGCCCGGCCCAGGCCAGGCGCCCCCTTCTGATGCGGCGCTGCCTCCGCTGCCGTGCGCGGTGGACCCGAGACTCGCGGTACCAGCTAAGGCGGCGTATTTCACATCAGCGAGTGACCACGAAGGGCCTTTTGCGTGTGGCTTAGAAATTTGTGGATTCCATTAAAAGAAGAAGGGAAATCACACAGCAGTGTTTAAACACCTAATTAGGGTTATGTTAACAGAGTTTGAGATAATCACCAGCTATTACTACATCTGAAATACTGAGACTGAAGATAATGAAATCTCTTGGTAAGGACAATTGTCAGAAATTTAAAAATCGATTTCAAGTGGTGAGAGGCAATGGATTAAGTCATCCTCACAGTCATGTGAAGAGATTTTAAACACAAAGCTCAGCAGAAAAGGAAATAGAACGATTTGTGATGTATCGTTGATGTAAATTAAACACACGCGCAAAATAACATACGCTTTGCAACAAACGCTTTGCTAACAAAAGAAACGCTAAGTACGCTAAAGTGGTTGCCTACGGGGGATGGGAATGGCGTGAGAGGATGCTGGAAAAACATTCAACACAGACACCAACAGCAAGAGGGGGTTCAGGGCACCCCGCTGGCCACGAGCAGGACCAGGGCCACCCAGCGGCCAGCGGCTGGTGGTAAGAAAGCCCTGAGCTTCGGCGGACCTGCCCTTCACCTTTTCCCCAAGGACACCACACACCCGATTTCCCGCGTTCATTTTGGATAATCTGTCTTAAACCGAGTCTGAAACTAGCTAGAAACCCGTAACGTTCTCCGGCTGGTGGAGTTAAGCCTGCCTTCACCTTCGCTGAGGAGGCCGTCCTCTGCCCTGCTGCACTGCCGGGTCTGGACGACGGCCGTGGGGGGGCCCTCTGAGAACAGACGATGAAGCGTCAGGACGGCCCGGGCAGACCGCTGCCCTGCTGAAGGAGACGGAGCCGCGAGCACGCGGGGGAGAGCCGCCACCCAGCAGCTCCCCAGGCCCTCTGAGGCCCTGCCGCGGCAGCACTGGTGACTTCACGGCACAGCAAAGGTCTCCTCGCAGCCCGGGACCCACGGCAGCCTCCCTCTCGCTGGAGAACACGCCGGGCAGCCAGGGCGCCTGGTAAGGACCCAGAGGATCCCGAGGGGCAGGGGACCTGGCCTGGGCCCCGCGCTGCGCAGGCTGCGCTTACTCCGCTCCCAGCCCGGGGCCACCTGCCGCCTCCCGCCGTCCACACTGTCCACGCTGCCCTGTGCTAACAGGCCCCGGCCCCAGGCCCCAGCCGGCGCACTCTGCCTCTCCTGCTCCTCCACGGGCTGTCTGGATTGGCGGCTCTCCCTGTACCAGCCCCTATCCTGAGTCCTGCTCCCTGATGTGGGTCAGGGGCTGGGCACCAGGGACATCCTGTAGCTCTGGGTATGTGGCCATGCGGGGATAGGGGACAGCCTGCACACGGGAGAGTCCACACGGTGCTCCACGCAGACTGCGTCATGGAACAGCGTGACTAAGGACAAGAGCGTGGCGTCCCCTCGGCCCTGCTCCTGCCACAGGAACCAGCTGCTCCTGCTTCCACCCATCTGTCCCGGGCGTCTTGTGTCCCACCTCCCAGGGCTGTGCCTGAAACCACGAAGCCCGAGCTGCGGAAGACAGCTGAGCAGCAGGAACAAACCTCGCTGTGCGCAAACACAAAAATGCCTCCACGAGGTGACAGCTCGGGGAGCAGACGGGCTGCACAGAGTCGTGGGCCGTGCTCTGGCAGCAGCTTCCTGGGCTCCAAGTGCATCTTGGGGAACGGGGCTCATGACAGCGGAGCCCCTGGCAGGGCGTGGACCGGGATTCTCTCCTGAGCCCGCCAGGACTCCCCCACTCCGGGTGGCAGCATGGAGGCCGTGGGGTGAAGCGCAGGCATCCGGGCCTGCGGGGAGGAGCAGAGCTGCACGGCTGGGACAAGCGTCCCGACCTCGGCTAATGGCCTGCGGCATCTCGGCAGGGACAGCCCCACCTGGCTGGCTCTCAGCCACACTGCTCCAGGCTGGTCTGGCTGCTGCTGCAGGGGACCCTGCTATCCCCAGGACCACCTTCGGGGCCGGCCTCCCAATTCCCCTTTGCTGTGGTGGAGTACGTCCTCCAGTGGCTTCTTGAGAATGATCTCGTGCGAGGGAGAGTCCCCAGCCCCCGCACGCCCGAGATGCGCCCCCACGCTCCTGCCCCCCACGGCCTGGCGGGTGAAGCCGTGGATGGGAAGGGCGCTGCCACAGAGCTGGCGCAGCCCAGCGTGCTGAGAAGTCTGAGGTGCCCTGGCTCCCTCCGGAACCCGCGGCTTGTCTCGTCTCTTCTGAGACTCCACCGGTGCTGGCTCGGCGGGTGCTGCAGCCTGGGGCCCCCTCCTGCTCTGCGTCCTCTGGGAGCTCCGCACACCGGCCCGGACCTCCTGCTCTGTGTCCTCTGGGAGCGCCGCACACCGGCACCGACCTCTCTCCTGGGCTTCCTTTCCCGTTTCCGCTCTGTCACGTTTTCGCTCCAGTTTCTGGGAGATCGCCTCAACTTATGTTCCAGCCCGTGGGTTTGCTATTTCCGTGACCCTGTTTTTAGTTTTTATTTTCTCCGGACATCCTGTACTTTCTCTCTTCCACTGCAGGCGTGTCTGAGACGCGGTGCGGCGTCCGCTCTGAAGACGCGAGGGCAGCTTTGGTTTCTCCGGTCCTGCCTCCTGCCGCCTTGGCTCAGTTTCTGTCCCAACGTCCCTGCTAAGCAGCTTCTCCAGGCCCCGGGTAATCCCTGGTCACCTGCGAACTGCGGGTTGGATGCTCTGGGCACAAGGGGTTTATTAACCGTGAGAGCCAGTATCAGGGATCTCGGGGGGCCTGTATTCTGGGGAACCCTGGATGTCGGCTTCCTTGGGCTGGGCAGATCCCTGAACAGGCGTCTCCTGTCTTCTGCCTGGAGGGTAAAGGCCGGCATTCCGGGAGCCTGGTAGGGAGGGGTGGGTGGATGGGACTGGCGCCCACGCCCTGATCGGAATCCGACGTCCCCCGCGCAGGGACCCCGTTGTGCCCTTTCTGGAGAAGCAGCAGGAAGCAGCCGTCTGGGAGTGTGGGGTCACGGCCCAGAAGCCCCTCTGTCAACTCTGGCCCAGACCCCTCTCTGCCCCCAGCCAGCAGGGTCCCCTGGGCAGTTGCCTTTCCTGGGGTGAGTCGGTGGCAGTCGTCCCGGCACTGGCTCGGGGTCTGCTCCCTGGCCTCTGCTAGGTGGGACCACGGCCCTCCTGCCGCCCAGCCTCCGAGTCCTGCTGCAGACTCCCGTCCTGCCCTCCCCAAACTTGAGGGTGTGTCTTTTTGAAAGCCCAGATACCAAGGCAGTGGGGACCCAGGAAGCAGCACCAGGTGTCCTCACGGCTCCACACACACCCTGTCGGGACCTACCGGGTGTGCGGTGCAAGACGCCCTCAGCCAGCGCGCGAGTGAAGGCCTGAGCGGGTGAGTGAGCGAGGGAGCCAGCGTGAACGTACGAGGCCTCCCCGCTCGAGTCCCCGCGAGGCTCTGCCTGCCCGGCCCAGAGCAGGCCTTCCTCAGTGTCGCCACGTGAAACGCGGGCAGCGCCAAGCACAGCCCTTTCCTCGCCCCCGCGACCCGGTGTTGGGGATCCCAGCCCCTCCTCTGGCCGTGCTCAGGGCAGAGCCGCCGTGGGCTCCTTTCCCGGCGGTGCGAGGTCGGAAGGAAACCAGTGGGCTGTGACTGGCCTGGCTCAGGGTACGTGGGACGCTGGGGAGGAAATTATTTAGGAACAAAGGGGGCGCACAGAGCCCTCAACCCCAGGTCTGTGGTCTGCGCCCAGGGAACCTGCAGAGTCCCCCTCCCCAGGCCTGTGCCCAGCGAGCCCTTGCAGCCCCGAGTTTGTCAGGAGTCCACCCGCCTCTGCTGACGATACCCTGGAAGAGAGTCTTGCCACCTCCTGAGGCAGGAGATTGCTCCCGGTAGAAAGTCCTTTCCATGAGGCCAAAATCTCCCCACCACCTACACACGTGGGGATGCCTGGCAGACAGAGCCGAGAAAGCAACAGCCTTTCGCCCTGAGCAGCAGCCGGGACTATTCCCGATCGGCTTCCAGAGTCAACACTGCTTTGAGCGTCGTCTAGGCCAGTGGTTCCCAGCCCTTTTCTACACAACGTCCTCGCTACGGGGCACGCCCATCCGGGCCGGCGGCTCCCACGAACGGAGGGTGAGGGTCCTCCACTTTACCTTGTGACCTGGGGGCGACACCCACAGCCACCCCAGCCGCAGGGCTGGAAACACAAGCTTGGGCGATTTCAAACCCAACACGGGAGGTAAGGAAGATCTCGAAATACCTAGAAGTTTCTTACTGTCCAGTTTCTGCCTGTTGAGGGGGTTTGTGCCATAGAGGAGGGTGTGTGCTTCCGAGTGCACCGTCTGCAGCTCCTCCAGGGTGGCCTTCCGTCCGCGGATGCTCTGGGGGGACAGAATGAGAGAGGACGCTCGCGTCGGAGGCTGCTGGCCCCCTTGCAACAGGCAGCAGCCCCCACTGAAGCCATCGCCCAATCTGATAGCACGAACAAGCCCAAGATTATTTGATTATCGCAAAATAAAAAGCAACGTCACCCAACACGATCTTTAAAATATTTGAGAAATATTTGAGAGAGCTTACGCTTTAATTATAGCTTTGAAAACACATTAAAAAAAATAATTCCAGTCTTCAGTGCGTTACCCTTCATGGTGACATAAGTGATTTGGCATCAAATTACTACTTTGCTTTCCATCTGCCAGGGTCTGGTCTTAAAATAGAGGCGAACTGACAGAGGCAGCGTGAGTCGCTTCACTCAGTTCACGATCACGGGAAACTAGAACCCGGACCCCCCAGTGTGTCCAAGCCCCAGGCTGGAGCAGCTCCCCGCAGACGGCGCGGGTCTGCCGCTGCCGCACGGTCCGGGACCTGCCCGGGCCGCCCCCTGGGCGTGCTGCGCTTCTCTGTGCCAAGCAAGTTCCTCTAATCCAGACACCTGGGCCAGTTTTCAGACTTTCCCCAGAAATTCACAGAAAAATCACTCTTCTTCAGTTGAACCATATTCACTTAAGCTTCTAAAAGGCGGGTGGGTTGGGACAGAGACTGGAGCTAACGGCTCACGTGGGGACGGCGCTCCAGGGCTGGGCCTGCGCCTGTTTTCACCAGGCAGGAGCAGGGACCCGGCCCACACCCACCGACCTCCTGCAGGCCCAGTGTCCACGCCTGTGCGTGACGCCCGTGGCAGGGCGTCCTGGAGCCCTACCCACGTCCTGCACTGGCGGAGGCTCTGGGCCTCGGGCCTCGTCCGTGCAGGCGGAGAAGGAAGCGGGCGGGCCTAGCGGAGGGCAGGGACCCCGGGCAGGGGAGATCTGCTCCAGGGACTTTTCTCTCAGCTGCTGCCCCACAAAACCAGGCTCTTAGTTTCTGAACTAGCTTGTTTAAGAAAGACAAGATGCGATAGCTCTCCCCGTGGCAGAAAACCAGTCTATGGTCCCTTTCCCGAACTAGAGTCATTTCTACTTCGGAGACATAAGCCAGTGTCCACACAGGAGGCATGCACTCCGTGGGTGGGGGTATCGGGGTGCAGGTGGGCCCCGGACAGCTGCTCGGGGACCCTCATTTTGAATGCGCTTGAGAAGCACTCCCTCCCGCGTAGGCACACCGTGTGGCCAGGGCCAAGGTCCGTCTGGACAGAAGGTGTCCGGGCCAGCCATGCTTGGAGAGGCCTTTGTGGGGGTCCCCGGGAATCGCAGTGTCAAGAAGGGGCAGGTGGTGCAGGCTGGACTTAAGGTGAGGGAACAGCAAGGCCACGGCAGCCACGTAAGCTCTCCCCACGTAAAGGCTACCCTGCTGGATTAGAGTTAGAATTGCAGCAAGAGAGATTTTAAGTTAGACAAAAGAAGAACTTCTAAATTAAGGGGAATATTAGAATAAGCCAAGTAAGAAGAGTATAAAATACCCATCCTTAAAGTATGCACAATGAAGACAGGAGAGGTGCACACTGAAGCAGCAGAGGCTGCGGGGTATCGCCGGTGCCCAGGCTGCACGCGAGCCCGCTAGTGATGGCTCCGCTCGCCCGCGCCTGCTGGGAGCCGACCTCATCTTCCCGTCTCCCTTTTAACTCCTGAGACAAAGTAGCAAAAGCCCCCTACAGCCCCAACCCACAGGCTGCAGAGGCAGGAAGAGAAAGCCCAGCGTGGCCCTGGTCTCTGCTGCTTCTTCCCTGCCCCCTCCCCTCCTTCCTGCAGCCGCGCCCGGGGGACAGGTGGGCACCCGCCCGGGGCACACAAACAGGCAGGAGCTGCTTGGGCCCCATGACGCCTCCGTGGAAGGCGGGGCCCGCACAGCGTGGCTTCCTGTACGCAGGGCTTGGCAGTGAAGCTTCCAGGTCCCTGTGAACTGGCGGGAGGACCCCTAACTGCGCGTAACATGCGCCACAGCTCCCCACGGGCTGTCGTCCAGTGAGCTAAAGCGAGAAGGAGCTGGGTCACCTGGGTCAGAGGCCACATCTTGCTGGCCTGGCCCCCCAGAGGGAAGAGGGTCCCACGCTTGTAGAAGAGACCTCCCAGCCCACTCCCATCCTTCCCCACAACGCCAAGTGCCCAACGCAGCAGCGCCAGGAGAGAAGCCGCCCTCAAGACCCCTGGCCGTTGTCTGTCCAGAGGGAGGGCGCCGACCACGAGGTCCCGGCCCCAAGGCCTGGGCTCCAGTCTCACTGGGGCCTCCACGTGGTTGGGGGCCCAAGGGCCCCACCCACCCGTCTCCTCTTGTTGGGGCCCCTGACGGTCTGTGTCCAGCACCTGTGGCCCCTCTGCTCTGCCACCCGGGGAGGCCCAGGTGCCCGCTGGGCCCCGGCAGGCCCGTGCCAGCAGCCGATGCCTGTTCCCTTGGGCCGAGTTACCACGGGACGGGCTCTGCCGCGGAGCTGCACCTGCAGCCGGGGCTCCTCCAGCTTTGGGAACAGTCCCAGGAGTCTGGCATCAGCGTTGCTGCCTCTAGGGTCGCGTCCGAGCCGCCCGTCTACCCCCAGCTCTCCTGCCCCTGTGTTCCTGCCAGGCTCTGTCTGATCCCACTGCCCGACGCCCGGGGAGCCTCTGCCAGCCTCGGCCCAGACACAGCGGGCGCTGCCACCAAAGGCAGCAGAGGGGCATGGAGGGCCTCTGTTTCCTCCCTGTGTTTTCATTTCCTCACTTCTACTTGCTCGTGTTTGCTTTTCCAGCTAACAAACTACACCTGAGTCCCCTGGCTGAGTGGCCCCTCCTGGGGAGGGGAGAGGCAGAAGCAGAGAGAGGCTGGGCAGTGGGTGGGGTCCTGTGGAGGGCGGAGCCCGGAGATGGTCCTGCAGCCCGTCCGCTGGGCAATGCTGCCCCCCAGTGGCGCAGCCGTCTGGGCCTTGCGCCACCGGCTGCTCCTCCCCAGCGCGGGGCTCTGTGCCCGGCTGTGCACCTCTCCCCCTGCAACCTGTGTGTCCCCAAGAGAACTGGTAGAGGGAACTGGGGTAATGTGGGCCGTGACTCACTTGTCCCTGAACCTCCCAGCTTCTGGAGAGGGGAAGCTGCCGTGACGGGGCCAGGCACTGCGAGGGGCTCTAGGAGGTGCCTGCCCACCTCTGCCACGTGTGCTCGGGCCCTGGCCCTGGGAGGTGCTGGGGCTGTCGCAGGAGTGGACGTGGATGCTCTGCCCAGCCGTGGACCGTCTCTAGCCTGGTGGGATTTCTGGTGTCGGGGGAACAGAGCAGGTCTCCATGGCGGGGCACTGCTGGGGGCAGGCGCTGCCACCCCCACTCCACAGACGAGGAAACAGCAGCTTGCCCATGGCTAGAGGCGTCTAGAGAGTGGAGCCCTCCTGTGGTGTGCAGGGCCTGGCCAACCCCACTCCTGCCCCCAGAACTTAAGCCCCCCATGAGAACCGCCTGCAGGGCAGAGGGCACGAGCAGGGTCCGGGAGGCCACTGCTGCCAGGCTTGGGCAGAGTGAGTCCTGGTCCCTGGACTCAGTGGGTGCTTGGCCTCCTTGTCTGAGAGCAGGCACAGCCCCTGCCAGCCCCGACCTACGAGGAGCCAGGGAAACTGAGGACGCCAGAGACCCCGCGGCTCTGAAACGTCCTCATGTGACTCCGCGGAGCGGGCGGGGGCGGGGCCGTGTGCATGAGCCGCACTCATGCCAGACCAGCGCACATCTGCAACCTCACCCTCGCACCGCCCCCAGGCCCCGGCACTTCAACCGTCCTGGGGAGTGGCCCGAAGGCCTGGGCCATCCTCCTGTGCTCGGAGCAGCTCGGGAGCATGAGAGAGAGAACATTATTTTGAGGACAGGCCAACAGGCCTCATCTGAGACGTGGTCTGACATTCCCCGTGGGCCTCTAGACGGCGCGTCCTGGCAGGAGCTCCTTCCCCGGGGCGGTGGCGGGAAGGCAAACGGGGACAGTCGTGGACTCAAGGACATGCTGGTCAGGGGTGCAGCAGCGTGTCGGAAAGGGGCACAGGACAGGCGAGCGCGGCTTCCTACAGGGAGGCCGTGGGGTTTCCGGACGGCCTCGGGCTTTGGGCGGTAGGCTGCCCGCCCGCTCGGGGGTCCCCCACCCCTCAGCCCCCTGCAGGTCATCACAACCCAGCAACTCCACCTGCTGGGGCCCTGCAGGCCCGAGCAAGAGCAGGACAGGCGACGCCGTGAATCAAGCCTCCTAGAGCGACGTCTGAAGCCGCAGGGGGCCCGCCCTGCCGCGTTACCTCGCACTTGCCGCGGAGGCCGGTCTCCTGCAGGCGGGACCAGATGCTCTGGATCCTCCCAGCGTGCTCGGGGTGGCTGTTGGTGTTCCCGCAGGTGCACTGGTGCTTCAGCATCAGCGTGTCGTACACGAGGCCTGGGCGGGGTGGGGCAGAGACGCCGAGTCAGAGGGGGGGCCTGTCCGTCACTCGGCTCGCAGCACCGCCCGGGACCCCCAGCAAGACCTCGGGGCTGAGCCTTGTGTGGGACCCGTGTTGAGGCCTGTGCTGACGTCTGAAGAGAGCGATTTTGGTCTCCTAAAACCCCAGTCTGGCTGGTTACGGGCCAACCGCTGTCTCAGCAGTTCTGGTGGACGGAGAACTGTCCAAGGTACTCGAGATTCAAGAGAAACACAAGACGTGGGTCCTGCCCTTAGAATCCTCCGGAGTAGCTGGGACATACGTGTGAAACAGAGCGAACAAAAACATGGAAGCACAGGTCTGACACGAACCCAACACGGATGTAACCAGAGCCCAGCGCTGCCCGGCACCCAGGCAGCAGCCGCAGGGGTTGGCTACCTCGGGGAGGGAGCCCGGCCTGCCCCAGGACCAATGGGCCGGTGGCCTGGGCTTTGCTGTGGAGAAAGAGTGGCACACTCAGACTGCGGCGGCAGGTGCCACTCTGCACGCGGGGCGACGCGGGCCCGCAGTGAAGGCGGATGGATGTGCCTGGCGTGTCTAGAGCTGGGAGGGACGTGCAGGCGGCCCCGCCAGGACATGCCGCGCCACAGCCACTGTGCCTGCCAGGCCCGTCCACGAGGGCAAGGTCGGCCCCTGGTGACATCGGGCAGGACGGCTGCCCCTGTCCCTTCCTTACACACCTGGGACTCCAGGATTGTGACGGGGAAGGCTGGACAAGTCCCTGGCGAGGGGCATCTGTCAGCCAGCATGTGCTTGCCCAGGCTGAGAGGGCAGAGTGAGCCGTGCAAAGTGTGGGCTCTGGCGTCAGAGGGACGCGCTCTAGCACCTCTACGCGTTTGACGCTGGGAAGCGACTCTGCCCATCTGTGCTCCCGCACCGGGCACGGAGGCAGCACCACCCCACCAAGCTGAGCTGCAATTCAGGGTGATCCGGTTTCTGGGGGCCCAGCTAGAGGACTGCCCTCTGTGCATATCACTTCCCATGCTTTCTGCTCTGTCTCTCATGAGTCAGGCTAACAGGAGTCAGTTCCCTGCACTTGGGGGATTCTGGGCTTGCTAGCGAAACAGTGCTGGGGGATGGGATTTCTGGTGGAAAAGCAGCTGGGCAGGTGCAGGCTCACAGGACTGAACACACGCAGACACGATCGCTGCGCCATGGCAAAAGGCAAGAGGGTGTGCACGGGAATTTGGGATGGCAAAGCACACGTCTACGTGTGGACACAAACTGCCGCCGTATGTGCGTGTTCGTGCATGTGCACGCGTGCGTGTGTGCATGTGTATAAGCCGCCAGATGGCCACTGACACCATGAACTGGACTGCGCATCCCACAGGGGCACCACGACGAGGTGACGTTGCTGATATCTACTGATCGCGTGGCCGGACCCCGTGCGGTTGACGTCCCTTCACAGACGGAGAACTAGAGCTCATAGACGGGGAGCTGCACAGGTCCCCCAGCCGACGGCCGGCAGGGCCACCCAGGGCCCAGGTAGCTCAAAGAGGAGCTACGTCGCTGTGCACAGACGTGGGAAGACAGCTGTAAGCAGGTGGGGTGTTACCAGAAAGCACAGGCTCAACAGACTCTGTCTGTGTCCGTCTGTCTATCTGGCCCTGCACAGAAATCGACCTGGGAGATTTGAACCCCCCCACTGACGGGGGCTTCCACCTGGGTGGGACTGGGGCAAAGGGCATCTTCTAGGGGCTCCCTTCGCATCTGTCTGTTTACAATGAGTGCATGCTGCTGTATAAGCTGACGGTGACGGGATGAGAAAGGCCACTGCGATGCGGGGCTGCCCGGGAGTCCGCGCTGGTCGCCCGGGCAGGCAGGCCGGGGCAAGAGTCGCTCTGCAGTGGCTCCGGGGTCTCCCTCGCCTGAGCTGTGTTCTTTCAGGAACAATGTCTCAGTCAGTGGCCAAGGACTTACGGAGAGGCCACCACAGAGGGTCACATGATTCTGTCACCTTCTGCAGTTTTTTCTCTACTTTTCTTCCTGAGAAGCAACATTTTAATTTCTGGATAATTACTACTGAAATTCTTCTCTGAATATGCCTGGCATCCTTCTAAGAGCCAAAAAGGAGAACTTTGCAGAGTGCAGACAAACAAGACGTGTTGTGAGAACTGTTCGGAGGATGAACTATTTTGTATTTACGCTTTTTTCTTAGTGTGGCAACAACAATGTTATTGAGCATCGAGTATTAAATCACAATGGGCAGAGCTGTCCCAGCGTCCCTGCTTGTCCCCAGAGGCAGGAGCTGCTCTCCCAGCTCCCATGTAGGCTGGTGGGGCTGAGCCCTCCCCTGCTCTAGGCAGCCCCAGCTCACGCGCCCAGACCGCCCTGCCCGCCCGCCGAGCTCTCGCTCTGCCTCCTGGCGAGAACCTTTCAAGCAAAAGCAGCATCCCTGCCTGCGGCCTGCTCCTGGCTGGCGGGGTGGGGACGGGCACCGTCCGGGACAGCACAGGTGGAACAGCAGCGTGGGCAGCAGGTGGGACCCCAGGGTCTCCCTGGGCTCTGTTCTTGTACAACTGACACCTGGTCAGTCTGCAAATTGCACCAGGAAGTCACTGGGGTCTCAAAGTCAATGCCACTGACGTAGGCCCAGTGCAAGGGACGGAGTGTGTGAAAAAGCAAGTCCATCTCCTGCTGTGTCTAGAGGGGAAGCCCCCAAGTGGTCCCCCATGTGGTCGGGGACTGTTCCCGGGAGGAGACCGCGGTTCTCTGGGAAAGAGAATGGGGGCTTTTGAGCCCATGAAGGGACCCAAAATAGAATCCGGGGTGTGGAGTGGGAAGGGGGCCCTCGGTGACTGCTCTGCTTGTCCCTGCACCCAGCGTGGCCCTGGAGAGGTCCCAGAGCAGCGCCTCAGGCCTGTCCCGGCACGTGGCACAGGGCCCACCCTGCCCCCGGCCACGGAGAGGCCAGTGTGTTACCTGTTGTGAACCTTGGCTTGGTCGGGGGCTCCTGCACAGACACCGGGAAGGTGGCAGACGCCGGGGAGGACTGTGCCCGGGACAGAGGTCTGTGGCCACCAAAGGACACGGGGATGCCAGCGGCCTCCATGGATGCCTGGTAGTTCCTCAGCTGGTGGATCCGCTGCTGCTCCAGCAGGAGGGCTTGCTGCGGGAGAGAACAAGCGGAGTTGGGGCCGGGATGCCGTCGCCTGCCTCGTGGCTGCAGGGCTGCGTGTGTCCACTTGTGCCTCGTTTGTTCGCTCATCCACTCGCAGGCCGCGGCCACGCGGGACGTGGCTGGGGGGAGGGGCCTTCCCTGTGTGCCCCACTGCCGAGCAGGGCCCTGTCCTCTAGGACCGGACTCGCCCGTGGGAAGACAGAGAGCCCACAGGGAACTCTGCCCGCAACGTCAGTCGTCACCGTCACCACGCGCCAAGGCAGGGCTGAGAGGCGCCAAGCTACGGAGGAACCCTGGTGGCAGGAGGGGAGCGGGGCCCCGTGCCGAGGTGCGAGGGCTCGGCAGGCGGGTGTAGGGGGAGGCGCCGGGCGGGTGGGGGTGTGGGGCCTCCCCGGGGCAGCACCGGGCCCTGCCAAGTCCATCTTCGAGCACAGGACGTCCACATAGCCGCGGGGCGGAAAGGCCCACTTGGCCACAGCGCGGACACAGAGAGAGTGAAGCACAAACCGCTGCCCCCCGCCGAGTTTTGAGCAGGAGCGCCCCGTCCGCATGCCACGCTGGGGTGAGCGAGCGAGCCGCAGACGCGGACACGCTGACTCTGTTTCATTCGCAGCTTCCCTCCCCCGGGGTCACCGTCCAGCACACCCTCACGTGGGCTGAAAGAAGTAACATCCCATCCAGCTTCCGCGTGCCCAGGGCCCAGCTTGGGACACCTGGGCAGGGAGGGGCAGGCCTGGCAGGTGTGGACGCGCTTCTGAGAGGCTGGGGCTTGGCTGGCGCACGGATGGGAGGCGGTCCCCGGGCCAGGGGCCTGCGACACCCTGAGGGACAGGAGCCGCTGTGGGACACCGGGCACGGGCTGAGGTGCGCATCCCCGGGGGGGGAGGGGACTCAGAGTGGCCTCTCCCACAAAGCCACTCCTCCCACAGCCGGCAGAGGAAGCTTCCTCCAGCATTTCCTGAATCAGCCAGGGGTGGCGGCATGGCGGCCACGCCGCACAGCTGCGGGAGGACGCGGAGCGCCCAGCCTGGACCCCAACTCAGGTCCTGCCTCAGTTTAGACGAACGAGTCCTGTGACTTTGGAAAACCAGCTCCAGGTGACACAGGGCCCAGCCCGTGCCTCCGAGATGGGGAGGAGGGAGCTTCCCGTCCCGGCTCTGATCCTCCTGCCTCGAGGCAGAGGGAGCAGCGCAGCCCCAGGGCGCTCCTGGGCCCCTGCACGGACCCCACCTGGTTTGAGAACCAACTCGCCCTCAATACGTATGGCTTTTTTTCTTTTTTTAAATTAGATACCCCATCGTACATTCACTTCTGCAAATTGCCAGACGTGCCGCCAAGTTCTCCTGATGAAAGGTTCTGCTTATTTCTCTTCGGAGAGCACAGAAAATAAGTGTTTCTAACAATTGTCTATGCTGGGCCTATACCATTCCTCTCTGTCCTAAGTAAACGCTGATCTACAAGAAACTAGCCTTAGAAATCACTTCAGTGGTTGCCCATTTCCTGTCGGCACAGGAACAGCACGCTGCACTTCAGCTACGGCGGGAGACCTGCCTTCCTCCGAACCCGCGGCCCCTCCCCCGCCCCTCCCCAGACAGGGAAGGGAGCTCACGGCTCGGGAGCGGAGGAACGTCCGCGCATCTACACGAGACAGGCCAGCGGCTTCACCGAGTGCTGGACGGGACTCCATACGGTCTTGTTTAGTGTCTGAGGTACAAATGAAGTGACCCCAGAAATTGGACACAGGCCACCCTGTGAATGACAACTGGAAAAAGCAGCATCAAGTCAGCCTCTAGGGACAGGGTGGCCTACCCGGCCAAGTGGCCTCCAGAGACATCTGAGAGCTACCCTGGGTGTTGTAGATTTGGGCCCAGTGCTCCCGGGGTACAAGGCTTTGTGTCCATCCACAAGGTGGCAAACATTCTAAAAGTAGATAAGAATGAAGCCGTCTGGCTGGGCACAGGGCTCACGCCTACAATCCAAGCACTTTGAGAGGCAGAGCCCAGGAGTTCCAGGCTGCAGTGAACTATGATTGTGCTACTGCACTCCAGCCTGGGCAACATAGCAAGACCCTAACTGTTTAAAAAAAAAAAAAAGGCATGAAACAGTCTGTTGCAGAGTCATTCTGCCCCTGTCTTTCGAGGTGCTGTGAGGGGAGGTGGAGACCCAACGTTGGGTACACGCCTGGGCCGTCACGGAACTGGGGAAGAGGTCAGCGGGACAGCCGGCATGGAGCCCAGCGAGAGGAGGGAATGTCCCAGTGGCTCCCGCACCCCAGACGCAGTGCCCAGGCATCCGGCCCCACTGCTGTTGGATACGATCAAATTCCATTGCTCCCGCTCCCTGATGGCACCAACTTGCTGCCCAACTGTCCTAAGTATTCTGTTGACTTGGTAGTTTTATTTTTCACTGGAAATTAACAAATCATTCACTGGATTTCTTCATCAGTCTCTTGTAAGTTTGGTTATCATGTGTCAGTGCCCTGGAAGCTTACCAGCTCTGGGTACGCAAATTGCATCCTTTTCTGGATCTGTAAGACTAGTCAGCAGCAACTACTTGGCCCCCAAAGGTCCTGGTTTCTGATCAAACCCTGCCTACCTTTTTGATGAATTAATAAATCAATCTCCCTTTCCTCACCTTGAGCGATTATGCCGAGTCCCACTAACGCGTGGATTTCGTGTTAATTTGCAGCCCACAGACCTGAAGGAAGCCCATCCCTAGGGAATCTGGGGCCCGTGTTTGGCAGGAAGCAGGTACATTAACACCCACGGTGGGCAAAGTCTGGTATCCCCAGGTATGGCTAATGTAGCACAGAAACCACGCTTGCCCCCTCACTGGCCAGGAGCAGAAGGAAGCTCTGCAGCCTCCTGTGGTCACCGTGCAGAGGACGCTGGACGTGGGGACCGTGGGTGGCCGCCATGTACCTGGCTCCTGGCGCCCCCGCCCGCGGTCACCTGTCTGAAAAGCAGCTCCTGCTCCGTGGGCTGGCGCAGGCCTGGCTCCACCTCCCGCGGGGGCCCCGCCTCGTCCTCGTCGCTCTCAACGGGCTCCTGCTTGACCTGCACGCTGGCCAGCGTGTGCGCCTCCTTCTGCCCCGAGAGCCGGTCCAGGTACGGCTCGTCCAGCAGGGCCTGGTGCTCGCGCAGCTCCTCCTCTGTCTCCTCAGGGTGGCTCTCGGGCTGCCGGGCCGGCTCGCTCGCTTTGGGGATGATCTGCAACCCAGAAGGACAACGAAACTCAGCGTGACCCAGGGCAGCGGGGCTCGTCACAAACCCACACTTCACAGCAAACCACGAAGGGGCCCGCGGGCACGCTACCGCCAGAAACCAAAGCCAGCAGGTGCCTCTGTGCCCCCACAGGACAGAGACCCGGGGCGCTGTCCGTGGTGCTGAGGAAATGACGCCCAGCCGGGTCCAGCCCAGAGTTGGGGTGACCTGGCCCAGGGAGGAGACACGCGGGCGTTGGTGTGCACTCGGCACTGCCCGGCGTCGGGTACAGTGAAACGCAAAGCACGTTGCCGTGTCCCCGACTGCGAGGGCAGCGAGGGTGCAAAGGGGAGTCCAAGGCTGAGCTCGCAGCCATAGCTGCTGAGACAAACCCTCGGCCTGCCCCCGGCCACGGAGACCTGTGTCCACAGCGCCTGTCGCTGGGTCCCAGGGACACGCCACGACCTCCCCCTTGGCCTCCTCATGCAGTAGGTGGCAGGTGCTTCCCTCTGCCCTCTGCCCACCTCCCTGCCTGCTCACGCCTCCGTCTCGCCGTCCTGGGCCGGCTGCTGGGCTCGTTTCCACCCCTGGCAATCTCTTCCTACTACAGATTCCTGGTGCCGCTGCCTCGGCGTGTGGTGTCTGGACTCACTCTTCGTTTCCAGAGCTGACGGCTCGCTAGACACCTTGGCTCAACCAGTGCAAGCTGGACTCGGCAGCCTCTTCCAAGCCTCTGCCTCCTACCTCCACCTCCCCTGGCGAACGGGGCCTCTCCCCACCAGCCACCAAGTCGGATCCTGTGCCTCCCGCTCCTGCGCAGCCGAGCACGGCCGTGCACCGGTCACTGCAGTGCCTCTCCCGAGCCTCCCCAAGGGCCCCTCTCGCCTGGACTGTGGCCGTGGCCTCTAGCTTCGACCCTCCCCACCTTTTCTCCAAGCGGCGGTGGGGGCGAGCTTCCAGATGGCCAGCTGACCTCTCGGTCCCCCGCTGAAAGCCCCACGAGTGCTCCTCCGCCATCTGGCCCCGCTCACCTGCAGCCTCCCCGCCCCCAGCCACGCACCGCTCTCGCCCGGCCGTGCTCCCCCCGTCCCTCAGCCCCTGCCCCTCCCTGCAGCTCCCGAGGGCTCCAGCACACGCTACTTTCTCCAGAAGGCTTCTCTGACCCTCCAAACGGGGGCGAGGAGACCCCCCCCTCCCCCCCGTGGCCCCTATGCCGCTCCCAGCATGGCATTTCCTGCAGCATCGTGGCTGCCCCTGCATCTGCCCACCTTCCCAGCACTCTGCAATCCACGCGAGGGAGGGCCCACCTCTGACTCCTCCACACGGCGACTACGCATCGAACACCCGCCAGCTGGACGGGGACGTGGAGGCCTCCAAGGGGACAAGGTGGACGGCGGTGTGCACCGCGGACTGCAGAGCACCCTGGAGCAGCACGGAGCAGCAGGGCTGGGGCACAAAAGGCCACAAGCAAGGGCAGGGCACCCCAGTTGTCATCTGATACAGCTGACCTCTGAACTCTGAAGGTGACATCACAGTGTCCACTAGAGCCTCCCAAGGGCTGCCTGGGTGGGGACAGGGAGGACGGGGTACCTGGTGGGACTTGCTGTCCCTGCGGCAGAGGCCCTGCGTGTGCCCAGGGCCGCACGAGGCCGTGCATCTCACAGGGGACCCTGGCACCTGGCATCTGAGTCGCGGCTTCCGGGACCACTCGGCTCACGGTCGCCGGTGCTCTCGGTTCCTGCCGCTCCCCCAGGGCCCGGCGTGGCCTGAGGGTAGCAGGGTGTGGTTTGCTGAGTGGCTTGCGGGAGGCCCACTGAGAGGCCGGGAGGCTCTCACAGCACAGTGCTTTGGGGGCAGAGCAAGGAGCGCAGGACCCTGACAGGGGAGCTTGGAGAAAGCTCTGGAGAAGGCGGCGCGGAGCTGGGGAGGACGCCTGGCGGAGGCAAGGTGGCAGCCAGGACGGACATGCGGATTTGTCCGGCCTCCAGGGAACAGAGCCTCTGCCCTGGACGTGCAGGTGTGAGGGAAGCGGCAGCAGGGCTGAGGCACGGGACAGAGGCGCTAAGGACACAGGATGGGCTCAGATCCCTGAAGCCGCGAGGGCAGGAGGCGCCGGCTGCCCCTGACGTCAGCAGGCCTTGGCGAGGTGCGTTCTACATTGGCGGTGGGAGGGCTTAAGGGCTGACTGTTAAAGAGCCTCGGACTTCTTTCCTAATTTCCTGCGCCCTTTCTCGCACACCGTGGTGCTCGCACCTTTAGGGCCAGGAAAGTGCGTTCTCTTCTCCCAGGTCTGCCTGGGGGTGTGGTGTCCCCTCCCCCCCATCCCTCAGGGCGCCTCCCAGAAGCTGGGACCCTACTCGTGCAGCCTGTTCTGGGAGGGTCCGCAGCCCTGGCTGCAGCGGAGGAGGCGGAAGAGTGGGAGGTGGCCGTGGCCCAGGAATGACCCTGTGCCGAGGCCGAGGACAGGCGGCGGAGCGTGGCAGCGTGGGCTGGAGCAGTCCCTCACGGGGCGCACTTCCCAGGGTCTCCTTGCGAGGGCAGAGGCCTCTGGGCCCCTCTGGAGAAGCCATGACACTTGGGGCATCCAAGGCGGAGAACCTCGGCTGAGGCGAAGGACTCGGGAGGCCCCGGGGCGTGGCCGAGGCTCTGCCAGGTCCTGCAGCGGTGTCCAGGAGGGTGCTGCCGACGTAGCGGCCGCCCGCGTCACAGCCCTTGCCACGGCACCCAGCACCGACGCAGGCGCCGTGTGGCCAGCCTCCCCGGGCTCGGCCAGACACAGCCTGGCTCTTTCTCTCTGCCACTGTGAATCCAGCTCTGCCTCTCGCTGGCCAGGCTGTGGCCTGGGGACACGCATGGAGCTGGCCTCGGGAGGTGAGCCTGCCGTAGCAACGTGGCAGCAGTAAGTGACAAACAGATCAGCTCTCGGTAGTCCACGGGCCTTTTGGACACTGACAGCCGCTTGGATCAATTAAGTTAGAACAGATGCGCCTCCATGTTCGGAACAAGACATTTGAAAAGTCAGCCTGGAGCTCAGAGCCAAAACCAAACTGGTGAACGGCCAGTACTTAAAAACCGTTGCACACGCTCATGATTAGACCACACAGAAAGTGAGCCCAAGTGTTCACATTCAAAACCGAGAATGTCACGTTACAGGGAACCACATCCAACGCTCAGCTCCGCAGGGCCAAGGCACCGTGTGGTGTCGGAAGTCGCTGTGCGGATGCCTTCGGCAGAAAGGCCGCCTGCCCCGGTGGTCGGGGATGCCTTCAAATATCTTTTCTTGAGAGGAAGAAAAGGGCGTATCCCCGAATATACGTTTCCCACCATACACAAACCAGACACAACTGAGGTCGGGTCAGGACGCGGCCAGCAGACACAGAGGGCAGTTGCACTTCCGAGTTCAAAATCTCCACTGGTCTTTGTGGCATGCATTCTCCAGAAAGTTCCTTTTCACAGCAGACCTTTATTAGACGCTGCTGCCTGCAAGGACCTGGACACCGATAGCAGACGCTAACGCGCAGCCAGAGAGCCCGCCACAGTCCCCGCGCCGGCCCGAGGGATGCTAAGGGCCCCTGCTCAGGGGTCTCGTCTGCCTCGTAGCGTTTTCTGAGCCAAATGGGGCAGCTCTCCCAGCCATGGACCTCGGGAAAACCAGAGTGGACACGCCCGGCTGCTGGCGGTCGTCTCTCAGCGACACTTCTTAAGCAACCACACGGCAGGCCTGGGCTGAAGGAGTCGCGGTGCAGGCGGAATTCTTTCTGTGGCTGCCAGAGCTGGGCAGATGCCCTCGGGGGACAAGCCCCTGGGAGCGTCAACCCCCAGGAGGAAGGGCAGGAATGTCAGTGCTGGGCGGTGCTGGGTAAGGTCCCTGTCTTCCTGCACGTCCCAGGAAAACACTGCACAAACGCTTCAATCAACTGTCACCACTGCCGTACATCAATCACGTAACAAAATCCAGCAAGATTACCCAGTCCCTGAGTCGCTCTTTTCAAGAGCGCTCCGCGTGTGAACAGGTGTTTCCTGTCTTCCTCAAACCTCCTACCTATTACTCAGATAATGACATAATAAAATTAACAGCCCTGAGCAGGCATGAGAAGGGGAACGTGAGTGCTTTTCACACTCGCAGGAACGGCACTTGGCAGGCTCCCGTCTCGCCCACGCCCAGCGCCTTCCTGTCCCGGTGAGGGGGTTGTCGGCGCCATTTCTGACGCGCTGCACGCTAATTGGCGCCCAGGCCTGTGGGGCCAAGGGGGACCTGGGGGGGTGGGTGTGCCTACTTGGCAGTGCACGGTGGGCGCCCACCACATAGGAGCTAGGCCCTGGGGGCGGGTGTCCTCTGCCATGTGCCCCGTCCCCACCACGGAGAACACCCGGGCATGGACTTGGGCTGAAGCCGGCTCCCGTCCCCAAGGCAGCCCGCCGTCCTGGACACTAACCAATTGGAGCCCTCGACCACTGGGGGGCTGAGCAGACCCCCTTCTGGGCTGGAACTGGAAGGCTCGCGGACCAGGCGGGAGTGAGGGGCTGACGGTGCCGCGGTCAGGGTGGCTGGACGCAGCGTCACCCCTGTGAGAAGGTGGCAGATGTGGGGGGCTTCCCTCCCCACGCACCCCTGCACCTGCACAGGGATCCTGTCCACTTACGCCAGGAGACCTCTCTCCTCCCTCATCCCTTCCTGCAGCCTTTCCTTCCTCAGGGAAACGACAGGAGACCCGGCCCTGCCGAAGCCAGAGGCCCCGGACCGGGCCCCGCTGAAGCCAGGGTGGGAGCCCTCGCGGCAAAGACGCCGTCGGGAAACGATCTGTCCTTCGCCAAAGCCGCCAGGCCTCTCCAAGTTTCCTCCACACGCTCCCCTCCCGTCATCTCAACCTTTTATTCCTGTAACAACTTTACTGAGATGTAATTCACATACCATAAAATTCACACTTTTAAATTATATAATTCAGCCGTTTTTAGCACACTTCGGAGTTGTGCAACCATCACCATAGTCTAATCTTAGAGCGTTTTTCTCATCCTTAAAAGAAGCATGGTGCCCCCGGGCACCCCGCCCCAGGAACCACTGACCTGCTTCCCGTCTCACGGGGCTTGTCTGCTCTGGACACGCCGTGAGAATGAAAGCGTGTGCTACGCGGTCTTTGCGACAGGCCCACTGCGCTGGGCACAATGTTTCCCAGGCTCCTCCACGCGGTAGCACGTGTGGGAACTCCGTTCCTTCTCAGGGCGGAATGATGTCCCGCAGCACGGACAGGCCACGTCTGTCTGACCATCCGTCACCACGTGGACGCCTAGGCTGTTTCCAGGGCATGGCCATCATGGGAGAAGCTGCTGGGAACGTCGGGGGTTGGTTTTGTGTGCACGCGTGTCCACCTCTGCAGAGCTGCAGGGCCACGCGGCCGTGTTTAACCTTTGGAGGAACCGCTGGGCTATCTTCAAAACAGCTCATCTCACTAATACCGGAGATGCTTTACACCAACGTCAGCATTTGGTAAAAGCATATTCAGACTCTGTCTCCCTATGAACCGGCATCATACCACCACCTTCCTGCTCCTTCCTCCCGAGAACGGGCCCGAGTGGCTCCCAGGACCTCCGCAGGGACGCAGACCCCTGTGGGCGGCCCTGGGCCCGACACCGCCTCTGCCAACGTCCCCCTGACAAGCAATCGTGTCACGAGCACCATGTGACCGAGAACACGTGCTTCTGGGACTCCACGCTCTCGCACAGTTGGGGCTTTGGGCTGTAGCTTTGCTTAAAGACACACTTAGTAAGCCACCTTAGTAAACCCAAGGAAAAAATCGCCTAAGTACAACACACCACGCTCTGACACAAACGCGTCCTGTTGCTGACGGGGACCGGGACAGGCCCCGGCCCGGGCTTCCTGCTGCAGGTGAACTGCCCCAAGCCCAAGTTCCGCAAAGCATCCCCCTTCCCAGTCCTGCCGCACGGCCAGAGCGCGTGGTCACCATTTCTCTTTGACGCCTCTCGGCCTCGCCCAAGGTGGGGAGGGCCGACGCCGACCAGTGGGGACGCAGAGCACAGGCGCCCGCGCCGCGCCGGCAAACCCACCTTGTTCATGTGCAGCTGCTGCTGCTGGAACTGCTGCTTGTGTTTCTCCAGGAACTGCTGGTGCTGCTGCTGGATCACCAGGTGCTGCAGGGCCTGGGCGTTCTGTGGCAGCGGGGCCGACTGCGTGCGCCCCAGCGGGCGGTGCTGCCGCAGCTTGTGGATGGAGGGGGACACCCGGTCCGCACCAACCAGGGACTGTGCGTGGAGGGGCAGAGCTCCCAGGCCTGAAAGATACCAGTCTGAAGATAACATGGAGGAAAAACAGCAGAGGGAAAGAGGAGGAAGAGAGGAGGGAGAGGGCTGTTCAGTAGGTGACGGAGACCACCAGGCCGTGCGCCTGCAGCCTGGGCGCCTCCTCCCAAACCCGGGCCTTGGGTTCCAGGCTGCGGAGACGGCGACCTGCTAACATCAGGCTGACACAGGAAATGTCGGGGGGGCCCTGTGGCAAGTTTCAAAGAGCAAGCGTGCCCTTCCCAAGGGTGGCCACTGCGCGGCCGCCCCTCGGGGCCCAGCGGCCTGCGGAGGAAGGCTGCCGCAGTCCTGGGGCCCGGGGTGCTGCAGGGGACTCTCCCCTAACTGTCGCAGGAGCTAAGTTGTGAGGGAAAAACATCGTCCTTAGGGTTTGGGTCATTGTAAAGGTCTCTCAACGCACTGATGTCATGCACAAAGATGGCGCTGACACTTTTAAAAACCCTGATGCATGCTGTCGAAATCGCTTTCTGCAGTGGCTACGCCCTGCCAGCTGCGCGGAGAATGCCAGCGTCACTACACCCTCACCTACCCCCCAGTTTTAGGTTGTGATAGGAGAGGATCTTGCTCTGATTGGTATCTAGATCTTGATTTAAAACGCAACCTGTTCCTGTAAGCAGCTTCGAGTAGCGTTTTTCCTTCCGTATGCTTTTCATCCATTTGCAAATTGCTGGTTTAGGCAGTTTACCATTTCTCCATGGTTCTGTGGGCAAAAGGACTGAACAAATCCTCTGCCCTGCTCCCTGATTACCTGTCCCCTGGTGACCTGAGGTGGGTAAGCCCTAAACATCGCTCAGGGTACAAATGGCCCCGGTCAAGGGCGCATGACCGGGTGAAGGGACACGGAAGAGGCCACACCAGCTCTCGGTGGTCCCGCGCGGGCAGCTCCCGGGACCCGGCACCTGCGAAGCAGCCCGATGTCCCTGCCCACCAGCTGGCAGCTGGCCCTGCTGCAAGGGCTCCGGGGACATCCCGGGATACCTCTCCTCAGTGACCCTGAAGGGCTGGTCCGTGTGTGGCCAGGCTTAGCTGGGCACAGCGGGTGCTGCCTCAGCACCTCCCCTCTCTTCACAGGGGCTGCCTACGCATTTAGAAAACCCCGTGCCCTGCGCAGACAGAGCGCACGCAGGAAGAGACCTAACCCCAGCAAAACTGTCCTTCGTCAGCTTGTCAAAGTCACCCACTGCTGTTCCCGAAACCACCCCCTTTCACCCCACCCTGTGCTTCTGGAAAGATGTGTTATCTTAGATTTTATTATCAGTGCTTGGCTGCACAATTAAAGCGAATAACTCAAAAGGCAGAATTATTCCCTGAAAAAAGCTAAAAAAAAAAAAAAAAAAAAGAAAGACAAAAGTAAACATCCTAAAGAAGGCATTTCAGAGCCCATCGGCTGCTGACCGAGATGTTTACGGGGGTTACGCTATTTCAGTCGGTCACACGAAGCTGCATTTATGGGATTAAAGGTTGCAGAGTCACTGAAAAGGTGCTGTCAGAAAACGAAAAGCTAAAATGTATTTTCCTTAGTGTTTTCCCAAAGTCTCAGCACATACGGGAGTCAAGGGTGACATCGGGGACTAAGCCGCAGGGCCCCACGCTGGAAGGGGCTGGGTCTGCTGGTCGTGGCTGCGGAGCGGATACGCTGACTTCACAGGGACGCAGCTTCCGGCTCCACACGGGATGAGGAACAAGCGACTCAAGCGTGCAGGCCCGGGCGGGATGGCTGCGTGGCCTCCCAGAGCGCCTTCTCTCGCACCCTCCCCTGGGCTCCGGGGGCTTCCTAGACCAGCAGCCTCACGCTGGGCTGAAAGCCTCCCTGGGGACACAGGCCATGTCCCTGTGGGTTGGCCCCTCATGGTCTCCTGGCTCCATCCTGCCCACCCAGAGTGTCACGCTAGTGCCTCTTGGGGTGTCAGCCCCAGGGCCACCACACATGGGGACAATCCACCCACGGGTATCACCAGAAAGTGAATGCCCTGACCTTTGGGAAGCAAAGTGATTATCAGCCTTGCGGTTTCCAATTTGGACCCCTGAGATCATTAATAGGAGTTTTTGATGACAGACGACTGGTCTTAAGGATACATTCCCAAAGACTTTCAAGCATAAAATCCTGGTACATTAGGATAAAATTCCGTGGTAGGTGACCGAGCTGCCTGCAGGCACTGGCTGTGTCATGTTGGGTGGGGGGTGTGGGGACAGAGCCTGGCTCGTGTGGTCACAGTGGCCCCCTCGCTCTGGGCCACTCTCCCGCACGGCTGCAGTATTCCACGTGCGTCAGGGTTATCCGGAAGAGGCGGATGCAGGATCTCCAGATAAACTAACAACGGCAAACCTGCCACGAGACACCGAGCCGCCTCAGCGACCGAACACCCGCTGCGGACCGCTCAGTGCTGAACGCTGCATGGTGCCCGGAGAGGCAGGACCGCAAAGCTGCAGAAAAACAGCCGCTGCTCTCCGGGGAAATGCACCTCAAGCAGGAGAGACAGACGCGTGAGCGAAGCTACAAGAAGAGGCAAAAGGAAGCCAGGCGAATGTGGACAGGCGCGGGGAGGAGCCCGTGCCCACGGGGCAGAGGGGCCGGGCGGGATGGAGGAAAAGGCCTCTGGGAAGAGCGTTCGCTCGCGGGGCTGCTGCAGCGGCCGGGTCAGCGTGGTGAGCACGCGCCTGGCTGGTGTCCTGGGCAGGGGAGGAGGGGCACGAGGCCCACACGGAAGGTCCACGCAGACGCGTTGGGACTTTGTGCCAGGCCTGTGCTGTCCGACAGACCCTGCGATGACGGAAACGTTGGACAGGGTAGCCACGGCCACACCAGCATTTGCTGCTGCACGTGTGGCTGAGGAACTGAACTTTCATCTGGCTTTAGCTTTCATTTTAAGTTTTAATAAGTGCACGAGGCCGGTGGCTCCTGTACCAGATGGCACCGCTCCAGACAGCGGCAGCTCCGGCGGCTGCGGGAGGACAGACTCGCTCCGGAGGCCTCTCCCCGGGACAGAACAGGGGGATCCCAGCAGACCCGACCTGGGCTGAGCTCACGGAGGGAGGGCCCGGGACACAGGGGCCTGGGGGGGAGGTGAGGGAGCACAGGGGCTTGAGGGTCGAGAACAAAAAAACCGAAAGCAACTACCACAACCACAGCGACCATCACCTAAAGGGCCTCCTGGCACCAGGCACTGTCCTGCGTGAACACCCAGCCCGTTTAATGCTCGTCACACTCAGTGAGGCAGATCTCAGCGTGCCCATTTCACAGACAGGAAAACAAGGCACGCAGCGAATGAGTGACTCCCCAAGGTCACCGAGTGGGATGCAGCTGGGGTGCAGGCGTCTGCGTGTCTACACAGCACCGCGATGCTGACCTGAGGCCTCCAGCTAGGCACGGGCAGAACCACTACCCAGGAACCTGCAGGGGCCGTGCAGGAGAAAAGGGGCTAGTGGATTTTCAGGGGGTGGCACACATCAGCACAGAGGCTGTGAGGGAAACAGGACGGCCTGGCCTGCTGGGTGCAGCAGGAAGGCAAGATAGGAGCCGGCTGTGCCAGCCGGGGCCTGGCAGGTGGTGCAATGGGGAGTCCCAGTGCCAACAGTCAAGGCGGTCTTGTGACACGTAGGGCCACCAAGTGCACGCAAGGGAAGAAGCAACGTCATCAACCGCAAGAGGAAGCCGAGGGCAGTAAATTTACTGGAAAGGTGAGATTTATGCAAAATTGTCACTGAAGTTCTATAAAGAGGCTGCTTTCCAGGGCCCGGAGCTAGACAAGGTCACACGTGCTATTTAATGGTGCAAGTAAACTGACTTAGAGAAGGGAGGAGACAAGGAAGCCACAGGGTCAGGCGTCGCTTCCATCTCATAAGCGACAGGGGACAGAAGCTCAGGCATCCCGCAGACCCTGCCGTCCGATGTCAGCACTAACAGACTCAGACGCAACCTCAGGTGAACGCGAGAGACATCCCCACGCCTGCCGCTCGCTGCCTGCAGCTCGGGAAGCCCCCGAGGGCGGCCGCGCTCCCTGCTTGTCCCGAGGGCCCCGCAGCTCTGCACAGGGCAGGATGCAAGGAGAAAGTAGCCCGGGCACGACGAGAGGCCCCTCAGCGTGGTTCCAGCGAGATGCCGCCCCCAGGTCTGGGGGAAGAAGCGTCCCCATCTACACGGGCGTGTGAGCAGCACAAAACGAGAAAACAAAACCAAAATGCGCCAGACCAAACTAGAACTCAAAGACCAAACCCACCCAGACCCAGACCTGTGCGTCCTCAGCGCTGTGGTCGGTGACACGCCAAGCACCTGTGTTTTCAACCAAGTTAAATGTCAGGGAGTTTAAAGGCACAGCTCTGAGGTTGTTTTAGTTTTAATTGTGAATAAAGAGATCTTTCAGAAGCCAAACACAAAGTGAGGGTGACCTGTACAGTGGGGCCCCTTTATAGGAAACACCACACGCTCCACCATTTCTCAAGCAATACTTGCATAACGTTGTTGCTATGCAAATTTAATAAATTTCTTATTTTTCTCTGAATTATGTTTTCCTAACTGTCCTCGGACAGCTGCACGTTTGTACACCATTCCTGGTGCTCACAGAAACGTCTACCAGAGCCAGCGCTCAGCTTCTGCCACTTGTTCGATTCCGTCCAGACTGAAACCCACATCCGAGAGCCAGCGGCCTCCTCTCAAGAAACTGAAAAATCGTAAGTGGCGTTTAGCGTCACTCCACCGACCTGAGTTCGCTGTGAGGTCTGGCTTTTCCTCGAAGCCAAGATGGCTACGTCACAAGCACAGAGAACCCGTGGGGGTGGAGTCAGGCCTCCATCCTGCCTTTTCCAGAAGCGGACGCCAGGTCCGACGCTACGCAGAGCCAAGGCAGCCGCAGCCGCGGCCCTCGGTGCTCACCTGCGACCAGGGGCGTCTGTGCGGGCGGCTGCTCCAGGAGGACCATGTGCTGCAGGAGAGGGTTGTGCGCCGCCCCGCCGTCCCGCTCCAAGGGCGAGGTGCTCAGGTAGGGAGCCAGGTGGCTGCCGGGGAAGAGGGGGATCCTTTGCTGGAGGGCTGGGAGGGCGAGTCTCTCGGTGTCCTGCTGGCCGGCCGCGCCCTGCAAAGCACAGCCGCGGATGCTCGGGCGGAAAGACCCGCCACGGCCACCCCACGTCTCACGGACCCACGGGGGCGACTTACAGCGGAAGGACCCGTGGCGGGCAGCCCCAAGGTGATGTTGGGCAAGGATGGCGACGTGTAGAGCGGGAGTGGAGCCACCGAGCCTTCCCGTGTCACAAGTCTGTGCGCCAAACTGGTCTGGGGACAGAGCACAGGGCGACCGTCACACACAGGGTCTGACACAGCAACGTGAGCAACACACACCGGGAAAGCAACAGCGGAGAACGCTCGCGGGCAGATGCGCCGACTCGTGCGATACCTGAGTGCAAACACGCATTTAGCACATTACGGCAGCGGGCAAGCGTCACGGTCAAAAGCACACCGCGGGCGTGGAGACAGATCCGTGAGGCGAGAGTTCGCTCCTCCCGGCATGAGCTCTTCCTCTGTCATCTTCTCCACGGTCCTCTTGTTCGTTTTTATTCAATTTGCTTATTTACCATGAAACTCGCAAAAGAAAAGCTAGGACAATATATTTAAAAATATATTTTTGGAGTTGAGGACGTCTTTCCAAACATGACATCAAAGGTAGAAACCAAGAGGAAATTTTGGATTAAAAACAATTCACATGAAAGGCAGGTGATGAGATAGCAGCATCGGCAGCGTGTGGGACAGATGGAGGTTAATATACAAAGAGCTGGCAAATCCAATAATTAACAGAGAAAAGTACACAGAGAAGACTAATGACAAAGAAGAACTCATTAAAGGGAATAAATTCATGAAAAAATACTCAGCATTATTGGTAATCTAAAAACACATTTTAAAACCCATTCAATTGGCAAAGACTTTTAAAAAATGACAACAGCACCTTGGCCCAGAGAAACAGAAACACACTGCTGGGTGGATTATAAATGATTAACACTTAGCGGCGTACTGTCTGCAGGACAATTTGGCAATCTGTGTCAAAAGCCTTAAACACTGATCGAACCTTTGACCCTAAAACTCCACTCTTAGGGTGTCGTGTTGAGAACTGCACTACGGAAGTGACCTGACGCGCGGGAAGACGCAGCCGCGGGACCGCTCCCGGCGCAGTGCAGCGGCTTCCCTTAACGGCGTTAGGTAAAGGAAGGTGCAGGATACGCTGGGACACTTCTTGGTGATACCTGGACACTTGCTTATGATACATTGTTACGTTAGAAAAACACGTTACGTTAACAGAATCATGTACTTGTTAAAAAGCGGGCTCAGATGAAGCAGCCCGAGTTCAGAGTGAGGATCAGAGCAACAGACGGGAAAGGGTCTGTCGCAGCAGAGTCTCCAAGGACTGGAACTCCAGCGCTGTTCACCATCTTCCTGCGGATGAACGTGCTTTGCTAAAAGCTCGCCGCGGCTCCCCTACACGGCACACACTTGGTGCAGGTTCCCAAACGAATGAGCAACGGAGAGGACAGACGCCACTGCGATGATAGCAGAGGGTGGGCCGGGCAGACGGATCCACAGCCAAAAGGAACACTCGAGATTCTACTCTCGACCACCGTGAGATCAGCTTTTTCAGCTCCCACACATGGGAACACGCGGCGTCTGTCTTTCTGTGCCTGGCTTACGCCGCTTAACACAACGACCTCTAGTTCCATCCCTGTTGCTGCCAACGACAGGATTTCATTCTACTTTCACGGCTGAATAGTATTCTGCTGTGTACACACCACATTTTCTTCGTCCATTCATCTGCTGATGGATGCTCAGGTTGATTCCCTGCCTTGGCTATTGGGAGAGATTTTAAGGCTAAAACTTCAAAAACACAGGCGGCAAAACCAAAAATAGACAAACGGGATTGTGTTTAACTAAAAAGCTTCTGTGGAGCACAGGAAACATCTACAGAGTGAAGAGACAACCTGTTAAATGGCAGAAAATATCTGCAAACTATTCATCCGGCCAGGGACGCATATCAAGAATATGCAAGGTATTTAAATACCTCAACAGCAAAAAAACAAATAATAATATCCAAAAATGGGCAAAGGACATGAGTAGATATTTCTCAAAAGAAAGCATGCAAATGGCCAACAGGTGTATGAAAAAATGCTCAACCTTACAAACTTTTAGCCTCGTGTCATAGGGAAAAACAGAACGTCACAGCTTTCTTCACTTAGGAGGAAATTTATCTCATCCCAGAGAAAACACTGGGCACGATTTTAGATTTGTGCACGTATTAAATTGTATAGGTAATAATTAAAGGGCTACTGTAAGAGGCGTTTTTCCTAGACAAAAATATTTTTTGTCAAAAATGACAGAAATATCAGTAAGTTATGCTTTAGAAAAAATGCTTGGGGATTGTCAGGAAGGCACAACTCTATTGTAATTATTTGTGGATAAAATAAGCAGATATTCTAATGTTTGCAATAACTTCCTTTATAAGCAAAGTTATTTTTTACCCGATTTATTTTTAGCAATAAAGCAGCCTTCTGAAAACTTGGTTGTGTCGTTTGGTCGGCATGAGCAATCCTGGGGCACTTGGTGTCTGCTGACTTTGGGCAGAGCCCCACGGGAGCCGTCCTGGGGAAGGGGCCTCTCCAAGCCCCTTGCGCTGCCGTGTATGCTCATCTGCTTCCCAGGGAGCGGCACTTGGGCTTCTGTAGAAAGCCCGCGGGCTGAGGTCACACCTGCTGAACACACTTGAACATGCAGGGACCGCACGAGGTGAGCGCCAGCCCCGCGGGAGCCGTGCTCCCAGCATCTGGAGAGCACCCGTCTGGCACTCAGAGCCCCGCTTCCTCCCCTGCAGGGAGGGGACGTGGAGGATGCTGAGCTTCTCTGGCCCGGGGGGGTCTTCGAGACACAGGAGTGTTTCCCTGGGGCCCAGGCTCAACGGCGAAAGGAGGCACAGAGCACCAGGCTGGGAGCCTGTTCCCGCCACGTCCCACCTGCACGAGACACCCGGTGCCGCGTCAGGGGGGCTTGTGCCCTGGTCCACCTGAGAAGGAAGAGCCAGCCAGGCCACGGAGCACGGAAGTTTCAGAGAGCCGTCCCAGTCCAACGGTGTTTGACATCCACACAGGACGTCCACGTGTGATCAAGTGTTCGGAGAGTACCTCTGCCCGTGAGGATGAACATTGACACGAACCACAGACAACAGCACTGTTTATATTTCTTGTGACTTCTCTGACATGGTCTACTAATTTGTGGTAGCTTAGTTTACAGATCACTTAATTTGTAAAAATTAACACGTAACTGCAGCCACGTAGGTCCACCCAAATAAGGCACTCTTACCACATTAACTATCACGTGCACAACTGCCCATGTCAAATAAAAATTAGTACCTGTGACCACAGTCAACAAGATGTAACTGGCATCATCCCGCAGGGAGGAGCTGGCTTTTAGGGTGCAGCTCATCACTGGTAGACCTCAGCGATGAGGCCAGTCACACGGAGGAGGATTGTTAGACTTCCAATCCTCGAAATATGTACTTAGCACGTGAACTGCCGCGTGAGTCGTATTTAACTCACACTAGTTTTGAGCCCGGCGCCTTGTGAAGAACACATAACTCACCTTGGGAGCTTCGTGAACTATTTTTCAAGTTGCATGTGACTCACGCAACAGAAAACAAGAAAAAATAACAAATTTTTCATTAAATGAGAAAGGATCATTTTGTTTTCGAAGTTTTTTTTCTATTTTCGTAAGAAAACACCGTGGCCCCAAGGAAAAATTTTTCTAGTGTGGCAGTCAGTGTGTTAAATCGGTAGGCCGAAGGCAGGCAATAAAAGAAGCAGATGTATAAAGTAAAAATAAGAGAAAACGGGATTAAGCAACCTAGAAGCAGCAAGCAAAAGTCATTCTTAGCACTAATCCTGGTTTCTAAAAATCTTTTTAAACAGAGTCTAAAAATTTGAAATGAAAATGCTAAGTGCCTGTGTATCCCAACTGAGATTTGCCAACCCTCTGGAAGGGCAGGATTCATTTCTAAATATTTAAGAAAGAAAGTAAATAACTATATTCAATAAATTATAGCCTTCTGTAAGTTCGGGAGAACTCAGAAAGAACCTCTCACTCAATAGAACTCTCTGCTGCACCCAGCAGACGTCAATTCTGGCTCAATTCATCAAAAAACTCACTGCCAAAGCGGCCGTTCCCCACGCGGTCACCCCCACGGGCCCACAGCCAGGCCCTCCGTGTGCACGCCCCTCTGCGCCTCCCCGCCGCCCGCCAGCGCCTGCCTCTCCTGGTCATCTGGGAGCCGTGTAGACGCAGCCCTTGGCTTCCTACCTGGCTCTGTCCTGGCCCCTGGCACAGGGCGCCAGACACACTGTGGGGCACAGACAGGGCACCTTGAATCAAGGAGCACGACGAACGCTGGAGGGAGGGTCCTGGAGAGGTACCGGGGTAACTGCGACAGCTCAGCGCCCTCCGCCCTCTTCTCCACTAACAGCCTGCGTCTCTGACATCATTCCCTCCAAGTGACTTCAGTCCCTGACCCCGCTCTAGTTTGCCAGTGTCCCTCCCAGCCCACAGCACCCTCCAGGGTCTACAAAGGCAGGGGACCAGGGACGCTGAGCGCCCTGGTCTCCCTGATTCCTCCAAAGCTCCCCTCCCTCCGGTTTCAGCTGCCCCACAGCGCTGACCACGGGTGACACTCTAGTCTGCCCTGACTCATGGCTTCTTGGACGACGGTTTTAGTTGTGTATTTCTCCATACAAAACAAGCATTTTAATTCTTGCAACTGTTCCCACACGCCTGCTGCCTCCCTGCCACCGTGCAGAGCGCTGGTGACCATGGCGAGCTGAGCAGCAGGGGTCCTGCCTGCCCAGAGCGCCGACCACCGTGCGCTCGCGCTGTGACGCCCTCCGAGGAAACATGCACCGGGAGAGGCCAGGAGAAAGGACCGAGCTCAGAGCTGTTCCCTGGCATATCTGGAACCGACGTGTTCATAGTTGAAGGAGACGTCTGTGACCAGTGCGAGGACAGAGTCTAAGTGGGTCATTGTCAGGGTGACCCCAGACCCGTTTCCCTGACCCCACGCAGGAAACTCAGGAGCGAAGAGCAAGTGCAGAGTGGGGTCATTTCAGCCCCTTGAAACTGCCGCTCAGCGCAGGACACGGCACAGAAACAGCCGCGCTTCACACTGACCTCGGCCGGGATGCTGGGGACGGCGGGGGCGATCCCGTTCTCGGCGCTGACGTTCCCGGAGCTGTTGTTGGGCGAGCTGGGCCCGGAGCCCGGGGCGCTGCTGCAGGCGGAGTCTGCGGAGGAGAGACACCGCGGTGAGCGTTTCTCTGCGCAGAGGGGGCCGCGCTTACCTGTGGCCGGGCGGCCTCTGCTGTCAGGACCTCCGCCTGTTAGCGTGCCGCTGCCAGAAACCCCGACGGGAAGGCACGCGGCCAAGTCCCCATTTTCCAGGTTTGCCGCTGATTTCACTTCGGTCTTTTAGGATAAGCACATTATCACTTTCATACCTCCCTGAATTTTAAGATGATATTAAACACCAGGAAGATAAATCTTTAAGCACATTAATAATCTAACAATAAGAGACCAAGAAACACAGAAGCCAAACGACTTTGAACAGCAGAAGGTCAAATTTACTGTGCCCACTGAAAAAAGCTTAGTTCAGAATAAAGCAACCTGCTATTAGTGTTCACTGTGAACTAAATCTTATTTTCCCTACACAATAGCAAACATCCGGGGGAAACACAGCTAGTGGCTTTTGTGATCTACCGGTGCTATTTGGAAACACACCAAGACATCCTTCAAGTACCTTTCAGCGTCTAAGGGGCAGCCCTGGCTAGCGGACCTGGGACAGGCACTCGCTCCAGGCAGGCCCTGCGAGTCCACGGCCCCGCCATGCTGCGCTCACGCACCGTGGGGACCCTGTGGCTCTCAGTGCTCACGTAGGGTGGGTTTAGCTTTGGTTTAAGGCATTTTAACAATGGCATTATCTGGTTAGAACTTCCCAAAGAAAACACAATATGACCTATTTGCCTTGAGAGTTCTCGGAGTCTCAGCAGTGACTCTGAACACTTAGAAACTCGCCCCAGCGCTCACTCGCGCAGCACCCGCGGGTCAGGAGGAAACAGCACGGTGGGAACGCGAAGGGTTCAGGGACGGCCGCTCAGGCAGGTGTGCTGAGCCGGGAGGCCGAACGGTCCCAGGCAAACCCTCTTCCCAGCCGGTCGCTGCCCCCGCCTCCTCCGGAGCCCACGAGTAAGAGGAACTCACACCAACTGGGGGACCCCAGCCGGCTGCAGGCCAGTGACCACGAAGCTGACCCTGTCCGCGCATAATCCCGACCCAACGCCCTCCCACAGCCCTCCCCGCCCGGCAGGCTGGCTGCCAAGCTTTGCTTCCACCAGCCTGTTTGTCCCTCGCTAACTCCACAAGGAAGGTGCCATCTTATTATCCCCACTGCAAAGAGGAAATCGAGGCACAGAGCAGCATCCTGCTCTGTCCCAGGTCACACAGCCTAAGGAAGATGTCAAGGGAACTGTGTGCCAAGGTTAATCGAGCAGGGCTGTGACCAAACTGTCCACCCCGTGTCCACCCCTGAGCGTGACCTGCCCTGTTCACTCAGGGGCCCCAGCTCCGACCCTGCCGCTCCCTGAGCTCGGAGGAACGGGCTGAGCCCCCCATCCCAGGCACCGACAGTGGACACAGGACCTCCCCATCTTTCCTCTCCAGTCCCAGCTCCCGCCCCCCAAACGCTAAACCCAGAGGTTGTCTTCTCCATCTGGCGAAATCACGATTATTTGCACCTCGCTAACTGGGAACTGCTGAGACGCCACCTGGGCTGAGCGGGTGTTCACAGCCCACTCAGGAAACAGGTCACGCTGTCCCCGCGCCCCCAGCTGTCCTGTCTCTGGCCCGCGCGCACCCACCGCGGCCCCGCCCGGACCCGGCTCTCTGCTGCCGCCTGTCTCTAGGGACACAGCAACTTCCAGCAACCTTCCTTCACACGTGTGCCTCCCAGGAGTGTTGCCAGACAAACACTTTCACGTGTGTGCGTGAGAAGACTTTTTGGGGCAGTAGAAAATATATATCTGATGTTTCACCTACTAAACTCGATGTTAATATTTTTTTCATTCCACTTCCAGGAACTGATCTAAGAAAATGAACATAAATGCGTAATCATCCAGGCGTTATTTAATCAGCACAATGGGAACACCATCAGAGGTGGCAAGAAGACGTCTGTGACTGACAGGAGGTGAAGGACGCTGGACTGCGCGGCACGATGGCGGGACCCTACTACGTGAGCACGCACAGAGAAAGGCTGGAGGAAACACGCTGCGATGGGAACGGTGACTATTTCTCGACGGCGTGCGTGCGGTCAGGGTGTTTTCTGCGTTGCTACAACAGGCATGGATTTGAGGAGTGACTGGGAAGGCAGAGTATGGACCGTCTCGTCCCCCGACTCTGGGTCCCCCGCACACTCGGTGGACCTGGCTCTCCTGCGCAAGAACCCACCCCCCCAGCACGTCCGTGGGGAGGCGACACCGCTCCTCCCGGAAGCCCTTGCTTCTCTCTTCGGGAACCCAGCTCCACGCGGGGCACCTGTGCCGACCAGGAACTGCGCAAACTTGCGTCCCAGCCCCACGCGTCCGCCCATTCGCAGCGCAGGGCCCCCGTCTCCACAGCTCTGCCTGGCCGGCGTGGCTGTGGCCGACCTTCCCTGCCGGGTTCCTGCGTGAGGACACCCCACAGCGAAGCTCAGGACCAATCAGGTGCTGTCACGCACGTGTCCTCCGCTGTCTCACGTGACGGGCTGGTCCCCACATTCGACCACAAGCTCCTTGAAGACAAGAACCTTGTCTCGTTTTTATGTCGCTCACAAACAGCACTGAGCTGCCCCTGGCTGACAACACGCGCGGTGGGTTTAGGTCTCAGAAGCTTGCTGACCCTGTCGTCACAACTGTGCGGCTGGAAAACTGCAAAGGGTCGTCCGTCTGTCAGGCCAGCCCAGACTAGGCACTGCCTGCAAGAAACAGGCTGCATTTGTGTTTCAAACAGGTTCCGACTCACGTGGTCCCTCACTGAGCCGAACCTTTCCCAGTCAGTTAGACTTGGCGAGACTTTACAACATTCTTGATCTTTCTAAACACGGTACTAGAATAACCAAAGAAACCTACATCAAAAAAGGAAGAAAACGACAAGAAACAGTCCCCATGCAAGAAGGTATCAGACTCTTTTTTGTACAAATCCACACGTGTCCAGAGCCGGCCGCCAGCCTGGGGCTAAGAACCGCTAAGCATAGGTGGGGCCGGCAGGGGCCAGGTGTGGCTGTGTGTCCGGGGAGCAGCCCTGGCGTGGCCTCACTGCCGAGTCCCAGCCTGAGTGAGGCGCTGGACGCTCACATGCACAGGACAGCACCAAGGAGCAAGCCTCACCCTTCCCCGGGACAACGGCAGGCTCGCAGGACAAGCTGGAACAATGCCGCTCACAGACCAGCCCCCGAGAGCCCCGGCCTCCGGTCCAACCCTGTTTGCCGCCTGCCCTCATCCCCTGCCGTCCCCAAGTAGCGCCTTATCCTGGTGCCGGGATTTCGGGAGCAGTGAGGGGTGCTCCCGGGTGGGGTGCTCCCTGCGGGGAGGGACACCGTGGGAGCAGGGGCCTGGCCTGGGGGGTGCTGTGTCAAGAGGGACGGGGCTGCGCCGGCCTGGCCTTTCTGCTTGCCACCACTAGATGGGGACAGCCGCAGCATGTTCACGACAGAGCTGAGACACTTTTGCCTGCTCAGACCACGGACCCTGGCCGGGGGAGACTACATCTCACGGGTGGTTTGGACCCTGTTCAACGGGCAGCGGAGGCAGCGGGACGTGCGACTCACCATTAGGACGAGGTCGGTTAAAACCCACCTTCGGAGAAACCTCAACATAACATCCTGTAAACATCTCCCCCACGCCAAGCCAATCGCCCTCCCACGCCTGCGCCCGACCGGAACCAGCTCCGAGTAAGTAACGCTGGGGCGGAACTTGTTGGAGATCCCTGAGCCGCCAGCGCCAGCCCTACCCGGGAGAAACCCACCGCGCAGGAAGGCCTCGCGTAGAGGGCAGCGGGGGCCGTGTGCCTGCTCGGCTGACATACCTGTGACATCCAAGGGACGCTTTTTCAGAGCGGTGACCACCGGCCCGTCTTTCCTGCGTAACAGGGGGCTGCTCCGCCTTTCGGCCACCTTCTGCTTTAGCCGGGAGCGCAGTTTCAGGTTGGGTTCAGAAGCTGCAGAAATGGAGACGTCGTTACAGCCAGGCAGACCACGGGTGTGAGTTGCCGGGGGTTGAAAGTGAGGGCTCAGCACTGACGAGGGGGCCCGGGGAGGCCACCGGGCAGAACCCCCATCCCGTTCCTCAGTCCCAAATAAGAATGAGACGCGTCTGACACGCCGGCTGTCTCTGGAAGACGGGATTACGGAAATGCTGGTGGCCGTTACGGCGTTTGGGAAACAAGGCTCGTGGGCTGATATACTGGGCACGGCAGGAAGCTGGTGACAGTCACTTAATGGTGACGTCTCTTAAATAATATTCTCCTAAATAATTCACCCATATCATTATAGCTGCGGCGTTCTCAAATCTGACAAAAACCGACAAACAGGGATTATTCTAGGGCCTTGGCTCACGAACATCCTGATGACTTCTGAATGACACACCTTTGTGTCCCCTGCACGTGGCCACATCTGCGAACGCCAGGGAGGCTTCCAAAGCGGGAGGGTGCCAACTGCCCCACCCTGATGACAGGCCAGCACCTGCGTCCCTCAGCTGTCTGGGCCTAGGCTGGTTTTTGTAAGCAGCTCTGCCTGTGTGGACAGAGCCATCGGCCAACCTGCAACTCTAAGCCCACTGCAGCCCCCGATTCCTCCGCACCTGGGCCCCAAACCTCCAGGGCGGGACACCTCGGGAGGCCCAGGGAGTCCAGTGTGCAGCCTCCTTCGGGAAAGGCACAGAAATCCCCTCCCCCGGGGGAAGACTGTCACCTTTCAGAGTCCAGGACAGCGGTTCGAATGCCACCGCGCAGGCATGTTTAATACGAGCCTCTGAGTTCTGAGGCTTTTGCTTGACCACTTTCAAGATACTACCACTTGTAGACTTGAAAATCAGTGAGATTTTACCTCCTGGCATTTTTTATCAGCACCCCTGCTGGTCCTAACCTTTCTGGGACAGCAAGTTCACTGCTTCCAGAGCCACCAGAAACGCCATCGAATTTTCCCCTGGAACCGGAACTGAGACTGGTCTGGGTTGTGAGAATCAGGCCACGTGAAACTCTGCCTCGGGGTGCGCGGGCAGCCCTGCACCTCCTCCAGCTAGAAGGGGGCTGCGCGGGGGGGGGACGGCTGCGCGGCGGGTCCGGGTGGGAGGGGGAGGCAGCCTTCCCAGGAAATCGGAGACCCGCCTGCTCTGGAGGCACTGACAGGAGTGGCGCCTCCCCTCTGCAGCACCGAGGACCCCGATGACAGACCCGGGGTTCGAGCGCACCCCAGCCCTCCACAGGCTAACGTGGAGGCGGCTTCTGCCGTGACGCGTGTCACTATGAGGTCAGCGCAGACGCACATGCTCTGCTTCCATCTCCACCTGGGTTTCTAGACGTTATTTAAAAACAAAGCAAAATAAAAAAAGCCAAGCCAAAAACCCACCTCATTGCTAGGCAAGAAAATGAAACCTGCTCTCCCACCCCTCCCCCACCACCGATGCCTCAGCCGAAACCCACAGGGGCTTTGCGGCCACTTTCAGGCTTGGGGACAGAAGCTGAGGACCATGAGGAAAGGTCGCTTCTGAGATTTGGGCTCTGGGTGCACCTGCAGGACGGGGTCCCCGGCCCTGCGTGGGCGGGCCGCCTCTCGGTGGCTGCTGGATGTTGTGGAGCTGGCTGGCAGCATCGGGAGACAGTGTGTGACAGGGTCACTCCAGGACAGCCAGGGACTGGCTGTGCTACTGCGGACCAGCGCCCGGACCTCAGGCCCCGCAGGTCTCTGTGAGACAGACCGGAGGTCATTTCACGGTCAGGGCGCTGACCGCTCATCAGTTGGGCGGCAGATCCTCCCATGCCCCTGCCTGGGGCCCAGCTCCCGGTGACTTACAGACTCCACCGGACAGGCCCCTGTGGCCTCCCACCCACCTCCTCACTCCCCGCAGACCCCGATCCCCTTCTGGGCTGGCTCCTTCTGGCCATTCAGGCCTCTGTTCCACACCCCTCCCCAGGCTTCCCTGACCCCTGCCCGACCTGCCCACACCGTGTTTTCCTCCCAGCAGCCGTCTCGCACCCCAACCGATTCTGTCCTCTCACCTATTTGCTCTCTCCCTCCCACCCGAGCACCTCCCTGGTTTCAGGTGAGCACAGTGCTCCCCTGGAGACGACTCCCCCGGTCCCCTCCCGCAAGGCAGACCCGGGCAGGACAGCCGCTTGACATGTAGGACCCAAGGCAGAATGGAAATGAGGGTTGGTCCCGAGTGCAAGCACGATTAGGCATTTCAGGATGGGGACACCAGAGCATTATACCAAATGGAACATTTAGGAGCTGGCCCTGCCTGCAGGAGGGCTGGAGCCGCACTGTGTCCTCGTCCCTGCCCCCTACAGAATCTGCATGTCAAGCAGAGCCCCCGACTAGAGGCAGCAGGGTGAGGGCTGAGCGGCAGGAATAGGGCGGGGACAGCGGCTGCAGAGCCCTGGCCCTGGAGCAACGTCCACGGGGGGCGGACACAGGGCCCTGGAGAGCAGCAGGTAGCCCCCCCAGAGCAGAGCACCACGTGGAGGCTTCTCGCTGTCTGGGTTCAGGGTGGTCTGCACAGCCTGTGTGGGGAGGGGCTGTGAGCTGCAGCATTCCTGCTTCCTGCCTGCCCTCATTTTTCTCCGGAAAAGGCCTGTTCACTGATCACGTCCCATCCGTGCATCTTACAAGCTGAAAGAGGTAAACTCTGCAGAGAAGACACAGTGACCCATAGTTTCGGCTATTCCTGTGCACGGTTCTTAAAGCCTGTGCACTGCCTGAAACTCCAAGGCTGCTGCCAACGGCAGCCAAAGCTTAGGATGCAGGTGAATCTCCACCTGGCTCCGGGGGGAGCCGGTACTCGAGGCTGCGGGCTGCACAGGCTCAGTGGGGCAGCTCCTGCCCCGCACTTGACTGCATCGAAACTCACTCCAGAGCCCGCGAAGTGGAGGAGCCCCAGAAACCACACTCCCCCCCTGCAGGGCCGCAGGTAAGCCGGCAACGCTTTAGGGACAGGCACTTTGGAAGAGCAGCTCCCGCGAGCGACTGCAAAGGCAAGGCAGGGCGCGAACTTCACTCCTGAACGCGGTGTCTGCTCCTCAAGGGGAACAGGCGGCGGGCGGGGTGCTTCTCCTTAAAGGCAATCAAGTAAATTATTACAAGTTAAGGCAGATGAAGCACGCCAATCTCAACCTTAAAATTCTCCAACCCCCAGCTCCTGCTCCATCCCCGAGTAAGCAGCACTCCGAGCGAGAGGCAAGCCCACCCTCCCCGAACTGCGACATCCTGTGCGCCCATTTGGCAAATGGCTTTGTTTTCTCCCCGAGAGTCACGGCATGAAACAACCATCGGAGCTGGGATGACTTGAAGGTTGGGTTCACAGAGCACCTGGCGGGAGTCAGAGGGCGGTTTCTCTGGAAGCAGCGCTGCTTTGCTGCTCGGACACCCCATCTGCTGGCCAGCGAGGAAGGGCCCATGGATTCGGCAACAGCGAATGCTCAGAAGACAGCTCTGGCAGGACGCGCAGCGCTAGGGAGGGGGGCGGATGCACTTACCACCGCGCTTCCCCAAAATCCTAACGTGACAGTGACGGAAATTCTAAACGGTATAAAGCCACGAGGACAAAAATGAAAGTGCTGAAAGGATAGAGGAAAACGTTGAGATTTTCAAAAGGCATAATTGGAAAGGATAAAAAGATCAGAGACGGAAGTGAAAAAGTCCCAGAACAAATTAAGGAAAACTCCAGGAGAGAAGAGAACACGGAGTGGAGAAAACCACCAGCAATAATCTAAGACATGCTCTTCTCTCGGGAGGAGGAGCTGCTGCCGGGGGCTCCTCACCGGGAACAAGCTCAGGGCCACGGGGGCCACGGAAGCCGCCTGACCCCCGCCTGGCGGGCCCTACACTGCATCAGAGCTCTGGGGACAAGAATGGGGCTTGGGAACGGCTTTAGATTCTGCAACAGCCACGCTGAAGGCAAGATGATGACCTGTGAACCCTGCAGGGAATGACTTCCATACCCAGCCAAGTTGTCAACCAGCATTGCGAGCATAACGAGATTTAAACCAGTATCACCAACATAGAGAGATTTAAACCAGTTATCACCAGCATAGAGAGATTTAAATCAGTACCACCAGCATAAAGAGATTTAAACCAGCATCACAAGCATAAAGAGATTTAAACCAGTATCACCAACATAGACTTAAACCAGCACCACCAGCACAGAGAGACTTAAACCAGCATCACTGGCAAAGAGAGACTTAAACCAGCATCACCAGCATAGAGAGACTTAAACCAGCACCACCGGCACAGAGAGACTTAAACCAGCATCACCGGCAAAGAGAGACTTAAACCAGCATCACCAGCATAAAGAGACTTAAACCAGTATGACCAGCATAAGGAGACTTAAACCAGCATCACCAGCATAAAGAGACTTAAACCAGCATCACCAGCATAGAGAGATTTAAACCAGTATGACCAGCATAGAGAGACTTAAATCAGCATCACCAGCATAAAGAGAGTCCTAGCGCGCAAGGACTGCGGAAGCACACTGTGCGTGCGATTCCTCACAGAGCCACTGGGAGATTTGCACAAGCAGGAAGAAGGTACGAAGGGACCCGCGGAGCCCAGGGGAAGCAGGCACGGCGCCCGCAGGCGGCCTTGGGCGGGCCGGAGAGCGGACGGCCCAGCCCGGCGCGCAGTGGGGCCTGCAGCCGCGACTCCCAGGCCACAGGAGAGCCCCGGCGGCTGCTCTGCCTGACTGCAGGGAAGCCTCCCAGGTCTGCTGAACCGTGGGCCTGAATTAACAGCAGGCACACAGGAAACTAAGCACATGAAACAAAATGATCAACTTCAGGAGACAGTTCTAGAAGAAAGGAAGTGCAGCCAAGGTGCCCTCTGTGGCTTGGCTAGAACATCACGTGTCACTGTCATAAAGCAGGCAGGTCAGGCAGAGTGGGGACAGCTGCTGTCCTGCCTTAAACGTCATGGGGGTTTGTGACTTACACACATTCATTTACTT